AGGGAACTGATGCTACCATGCTAGAGGGACAACAGTGGCCTTCTAATGCTGGGGGTGAGGGTGGTGATACAGCTTTTAGGATCGTAGCTGTGGATCCCCACAGTCTCATAGGTTAGCAGCAGCAGCACAATGGAATATATGGAAATGACATAAAATACAGTTTATGACAATTGTATTGTACTATTTCTCTACTTCCTCTATAGTTCTCCTTTGATGCTTCACTGTGACATGAAAGTGGTCCTCAATTCTTAAAGGTTGTAATAGCACAATTATAACAGGGGCACAGCTAGGTGGTGGAATAGATAGAGGTCTAGGCCTGGAGTTCAGAAGACATGAGTTCAAATCTGGCCTCAGACACTAACTAGCTGTGTGACCTTGGGCAAGTCACTTCACCCTGTTTGCCTCGGTTTCCTCATCTGTAAAATGAGCTGGAGAAGGAAATGGCAAATCACTCTAGTATCTTTGCCAAGAAAACCCCAAATGGGGTCACAGAGAGTTGGATATGACAAACAACTCAACAACATTACAGCACAGTATATACTCTGGCAAATCCTACTAAGCTAGAAATCCTTCAGATACAAATCTGGTGGTACATTGTATGTTTGTTGTCTAAACATTGGCCTAAGTAAGTGCAGAAAGGTCCATCACACTTTTCCTCCATAACAATTTTGAAATAATAGCAATTAAGTCAATTAAGGAATTATGATCTATATCAGTAGTATAATCACGCAAACAAAATCACAGATCTTCAAAGTATTTAGGTACTCTTCTGAATTGTTTCATGTGTATAAATCTTATCTTTTGGACAAGATAGGAAAGGTCCTTGAGGTCGGGAACTTAGTACTATACTTCTTCTGTTCACCTCACAGTACTCAACTTACATTCTAAAGAGGGAGACAATAGGTAAATATTTAAGATATATAGAGAATATATAGGAGCAATCAAAGTATATAATACACTTACTACGTTATTTTCAAAGCTGTCCTGCTTAGCTGGGTTTTTGACTTACCTTCATTTTGTCCTTTCCTCTGTGATTCTGAAATGCTTTGATGAACTACTTTTTCTTTTTTTAAATTTTGGTAACCCCTCACTCCTTTCAAACAGTCCCCTCCCCCTAATCCTTAAAACTTTAACCCTTACTCTCACTCTGCCAAGGCTGGTCATACTTTAAACTTCACTCAGATTTCTATTATCAGAATCCTAAACTCAGAACTTTCTCTCTGACCATAATCTCTTCTCCTTTCCCCACTCCATCTCTCCATGCGTTCTTCAGTTTTGTGACTGCTGGTGCTCTTTTCATTCCTCCCTTTTTCCTCAGTTCATTAATGATGTGATGGTTTCACTTCCTTCTCATCAACAACATCATGACCCGATGATGAACCATTTCAACAATGATCAAACTTCCACCTTGGAATCATAAACCTCTAACCTTCGACCACTGTCACTCTGTTTTCAACCCTACACAGCCCACACTCATCTGCACTGTTATTCTTGACCTGCCTATCAATGCTGGAGGATGTCATGAAACCATGTTGATTAGGTCAACTACAGAATTTATTCTTTCCTCTCTTCTGGATCCTCATAGCGTCATCTCTTAAAGTTTCACAATTGCATCCCTCACAGTTACTCCAAATTCTCTCTATTTTACTCAAATCTACAAACCAATCTGTCAGCATGAGTTTGCCTCTTATTTGATTGAAAAGAATTTTACATAAAAAAATTATTGACTTTTTTCTTTTTCTCTCCTATTGAGGCAAGTGAGGTGGTCCTCTTCCTTGTCAAAGCTAATCCATGCCCTTGATTCCATCCATAATCAAATGTCTCATCTAGGATCATATTCCTTTAGTCATCCTCCCTCTCTCCTCTTTTTTCATCTTCAGTCTCTCTACTGGCTCCTTCCCTTCTTATCTATCCTTTAAAAAAAAAGCCTCCACTCCACACTTCATTATGTATCTTCAAGTTTTCATTTTTTCTCTTTCATCCCCCTTCACTGACAAACCCCAATCATCCCTCAGCATCTTGCAATTATGCTTTTTTTCTCTACCTCTAATGAAACTGCTCCAAGAATGGCCTTCTTATCATCAAATATGACAGCCTCTCTTCTGATCACTCCCTCTGCTTGACCTATCCTTTCCAGAATTCCAAGTTTCTCAGCTGACAACTTTTCTTTCTCTTGTTTTGTAAATGTGAGCATTGTCCCCGTCCTTCCCCCCAAATCTGTCCTTTCTCATTTCTCTAAATTCTTATACTTAGAAACCAATTCAACCACAGCTTTAATGATCACATCTATTCAGATGATTACTCAATCTAAATCTCCAGCCCTTCGTTGAATATTTTGCTGTCACCTCAAACTCAATATATACAAAACTGAAATCATCTTGCCTCTTTACCTCTATCCATCTCTTGACCTGACTTTTTCATGGACAGTTTTTGACTCTTTCCTTTCCCTCAACCCCCATATCCGTTTTGTAGCTAAGTCCCTTCATTTTTACCTTTACAATATCTTTTGCTTCTTCTTTTCCTTCCTTCACTTTCCTCCTCTCCTTTTTACTTCCCATTGCAGCCACTCTAGTTCAGGTCCTCATTACCTCAGGTCCTCATTACCTCTTACCTTAAGTATTGTAATAAGCCTCTTAATTAATCTCCTTCCCTCTGGTTTTTTAATCTTTCCAACTTATTCTACATACAACTGACAGGGTAATTTTTCTAATGTGCAAATCTCACCACATCCCTTCTCTCTTCAAAAACCTTCAAAAAATTTGGCTCCAAACTATCTTTCCAAGTCGATCACATCGTCCATATTCTACGTCCCAGTCAAACTTGACTGCACGCTATGCCCTGATCTCACCCTGCCCCTTCTTGACTCTGTGCCTGTGTTCAAGTCGTTGCTCATTCTTTGCACATCTTTCCTCTTGAAATGCTTCCTAATCTAATTGATTTCTCTCTGGATGTTCTCATTATGCCTGGAATCCCTCCTATGCTCTTTAACATTGTATAATCTGTATAACAGTTATTCATGTATATGTCTCTTCTACGCTACTGGACTACAAGCTCTAAGAGGACAGGTATTGTCCTTTATTTCAACTCTGAATAACTAAAGGAATGTAACTGAGTAATTAATAAATGTTTCTTAAGCTAGAGGCACCAAGTGTGGTAGGTGCTATGTGAAGAACAGCCCTCTGAGAAGAGATAGGATCAATGCCGCCAAGGTTTCACTTTTCAACTGCCATATGCTTAGTTAGTGATAAGCCACTTCCACAATGCCCTCTCCTTTCCCATTAAGTGTACATCAACAATGCCACCTCCCCTTGATTTTCTATTACTTCCATTCTGTTAATGGTCAACCCTACATAATCCTCCCCAACTTGCCCTGTTACTCATAAGTGCCTGGGCAATGCTGGAGGATGTCAAGATAACATGCTAACCAGGCTGAATACAAATGTATTGCTTCTAACCCTAATTGGACTAGCACTGCTTCATCTTATAGATTCCTTACCTCACTCAGCACAGTTGCTACTCCAGATCTCTTCTCTTACTACTTGAATTTCCTAACTCTTATCACCTAAAGAAGTCTCTGTCTTGATGAAACTCACATTTATGGGATGTACTCTTGTCAAAAATGGAAAGAGGGAGGGTGCAGTTTGATTTTTCTACTGAAGTGGTAATATATTTTTGAATGAGGAAAAGTACATAAAAATGTTAAATACTTTTATTAGCAGAAAATCCTTAGTTCTCTCTCTTTTCAGAGTACGGAAAAGAAACAAGGTTTCGATGGAGGCTGAAAAGCTTTAAAGACATCCCTGTGCCTAACTCAAATAACCTGCAAAATGTGTATTAACTACTTTTGGCTAAAAGAGAAAGAAACTGGCTCATATTCAAAGATCAAAGATGCTTTGAAACTGAGTTAACCCCAAAGCTAAGGCCTTCCTAATGTGAAATTTTTGTTTTTAAGATTAGGCTTAAGCTAGTAAAGGAAAAACTAACAATTAGTGAGAAATATATTCAATAGTACTATAGGCTTTTATAAAGTTTAGCTAAAACATAATTCTAAACATGATTGGTTAAGGTTACTTAGACATTCAGATGCTTTCATAGTTTTATTTTTGATGGGTTAGCTATAGAAAATAAGCAGCTTTAAATCAGTAGGTATTTGAATCATTATAGGAAAAGTATATGATATCCTGCACTTTGGATTTTGTAATTGAAGCATTCCCTCCATGTGATGGCAGCCCAGCAGAGTTGCATTTCTAGGGTTGTTTTCTAGGAAGTGAATAAATGTCTTTTAAAGACTGAACTCACAAATTCATAGATATAATGTCCACAAACATCCTATTGGCCATAAATTTAAGTGAAATAAAAAAAGCTAGGATTACGATCTAATGAATAAGTCCCTGCAAGTTTTTAATAGGCACAAAACCACTGAGGTGTCAGCAAGAGGATTAGTTTGTATAACATGAAACAACATAAAAACAATTACAAAAGCTATCTGTATTTGCAATAATATTTTTGTTTTGTTAAATGATATTTATGACTTTAAGCAGTAAAATCTTACATAATTTTATGTGATATATTGATCAAGTCCTTTTATATTCATTTTGAAGGAAAAATAGTAGGCAAATGTTAATGCAAAACAAAAAATTCACAACTCCCTGACCCTTCAGCATGTGGTAAGAATATGAGGGATGAAAGGCCTAGGAAGGAAAACTTGTTCTGGAGCTACCTTAACAGATGTAACTCACATGAATGTGCCTTAATGGTCAAATGAATCAGCTGAAATCCTACTCTGATGGAATCATAGAATTTAAAAGCTGAAGTAATCTCTGGGATCAATCCACACACAAAAGGAATCCCCAATGTTATATCTCAATCCAGAATAAAAAAGTTTAGCTACAGTTTTACTTTGTCTTACATAAATACACACATGTGCACACAGTGCAAAATCAGTCTGATCAGGAGAAAACAAAAAATAAATTCATGAAGAAAATGAGCAATTAAGTTACCTTTTCTAGTTTTTTAGCCTCAATGTGTCGCAGTACTTGTTCTCTCCAATCATGAGGGACTTTACTTTTTCCTGGAGGTTCTAACAAAGAATGCTCAGAACTGACTCGTGGATTTGGTCTTTTTGAAGGACTAGTCCGTGAATAATTAAAATCACTAACTGACATAGTTCTTTCTGGTATTTCATTAACAGAGGGTCGAGCACTCTGAGGCCGAGGTACATTTGGACCATCTATACTATAGGCTCTTGCAGAAAGGGGTCTCTGTGATCCTGACATCATCAGTGGAGCTCTTCCCACCGAATGCAATTCTCGATATGTTAAATAATCTCCTTCAGGAACCTGGGGTCTCCGAGTGGGACCTGGGTCACCAAGATTTACAGAGGCTGTAGAGGAGATGCTACTTTGTCTCTGAAGTGTATTTCGGCTTGCTCCAGGAACAAGTCTATCATTTGGTGGGACTGCCCACATCTCCATGTGCCTTGCTGGTCCCATCCTTTGATGTAAGTTGTACGAAGCATTAGCTCGAACATTGTTATGGTTCGAGAAATTCATATTTGCAGAATGTTTAGCATAATTAGGGTTTTCTGTGCTTTCTGATCTAAGAAGACGTGGAGGAGGTAAATTGCCTTGATCAACTTGGGCATTCTGTTTGGAGTGCCACAAAGTATCCTTGACTGCAGCATTGCTACTGTACTGGACGTTATATTGTGGGGGACCATACATTTGAGGTGCAAACTGCGTACCAGATGTTCCAGAACTCCTTCCTATATTAATATCTTCTGGGTTGTGATTTGAATCAAACTTGTATATGGCTTTTGTACATGACATTAAGTCAGAAGATGAGGAGGAGCCAGGAAACACTTGCAAAGGCTGATCATAGAGAAGTGTAGCCGACTTACTCCGGACTATGTTTTTTCCATCAATGACAGACGAGACTGCTTTAACTGTTGAATTTGGCTGCTGTGGACAATTATCACTCAAAATTTCATATATTTTTAGTCCTCCAGTCTCCATATTTGTTATACTATGAGATTTTATAACAGCTCCTACTGGTCCACTTCGTTGGGGGGACAAATCTTCAATACTTTTGGAAACACACATATCCACAGAAGGCTCAGAATCAAGGGCAGGGTCCTTTAGTTGTTCAGTCCTCTGAGGAGACTCTGTAAGGTCTACAGAATGTCCATTAAGCTTATTTATAGCATCTAAATTTGGATACTTATTTCCATTTTCCAAGCGCTCAGTTTCCTCTTTAGCATTATTAATTAAAAGGCCTTTTCCTGATCCTAGTTCTTGAGTTATCTTTGATCTTTCCATGGTATCTGACTGAAATATATTATTAATTGTGCGTTTATTAAGATTTCTGTTGATTTGGTCTAATTTTTGAGAATCTTCAGTAGTGGTTTTTAGATCAACATCCTTCTCTAATAGAGACAATCTTTCTTCAATGTTCAATTCATATTCGGTCAAATTGAAAATTTTTTTCTCATGGACTTTGCATTTTTCTTCTGTTGAGCTGCTTAAATCACTACCATTTTGCAAAAGGTTATTAAAATTTTCATCTTCTTGCCTAAAACAAAGAACGATTCTTTGAAATGACAAAACACAGCTTTTATAAATGTTAGCAATGAAGATCTAATTAGTCATTTCTTTAGTTTTTAAAAATCAAAAGTATAGAGGCAGATTAAAGCAATAGTATAAATCTAAGAGCTATTATCAATAAGATTAAAATTAAAAATAATAAAATCCTATGTATTATATTAATTACCACCAAGAAAACCAATATGGAGAAAAATCTAATATTCCTCAAATCTAATTTTTGCTAATAACCTCAAGCATCTGTCACATAAATCTGTGTGAAATGAGAAACAAAAAGGACTTAATTTCCTCTGTTTTTACTGCACTGGTGAATAAACTGAAGTCATGAAATGCTATAAAATGAGACAGTTTAAAGTGGAGAGAAAAGGGGCAAATGCCTTCATGAGGTTAAGAGACTGCCATCTCTTACATCTATCCTTAAACCATTCACGTCAAATAGTTTTTAATTATGCCAATATTCAGATGATGAAATTAGCAACTAACAGCCAAAATAATTTTCCAAAGACCTATAATAGAGAATAGAAGTGAACTTAAGTCTTTTAATTCCCTATTACTAGGCTGTACTTAACTGCCCAAAAATGTTGCTACAAAATTATACAAGATATATGCTTATACAATCAAACAAATAAAACACCTGTACAGCCTTAACAAGAATATTCAAATTACTGATCTCCAAATCATTCTTTGGTAGCAAATCTTCCCCTTAGGCAGCACAGAATAAAATAAATATCCTTTACTAATAAGCCACCAAGGAACTGGCACCACAAAAATATAGTAGTAAGCTCTCTTACTTAGTTTTTACTTCATTATATGAATGACATGATTCATAGAAAAGTATAAATATTTGCATATCAAACAATAAATTTAACAATTGAATTCATGTCAGTCACATTGTCACTGACTCAAAATTGCTATTTTGTGGCAAATAAAATGAACAATTTCAATTCCTGCTTAAATAACATTGCAGGAGGAGAGTCCATATGTGCAATGTGTACAGATATGCTTCCCCCTAGGTAAAGTTTGTAACCGGGGATCCACAGACAAAAGGGGCTGTGGATGGGTTTTGGGGGACTCTATCCCTTATGGATAGGAAAATATTACATCTTTATTTTCATGAACTGCTTATGTCTCATTTAAAACTATTCAAATCAAAGGAATCAAAATAGTTTTCCTTCAAAATGCCTGAAAAAAGAAGAATATAATTTAGTAGTAAAATACTATGTAATATTAACTCAATGTGAACTTTTAGTTTAAAAGTTACCAGGCTTTGGTGTTTAAATTAAACAGCCATTTCTTCCTTGCTTCAGAGTGTTTAATTGGCACCTTAATTAACATGGCTTTAAAATTATTATCATTTATTTATTGTTACTAGGTCAAATTTATCTAATTTTCTCTGTGCTTTAGTTTGTTTTTATAAAGTCACATTTAATAAACACCAACATAAAGGAACTATTAATCACATATTAATCACTCTTTCAAGGAGGAGTTTGACTAACACATTTCCCCCCCTAATTATATTGATTACAAAGCTCAACAAGCAATGATGGCCAATCATGATGTGAATTTGATTTAGTAATCTATGATACTTCCCTTTCCCACAAATCCTTTTAAATTTGAAAATTAAAAAAAAATTTTTTGGGTCAGAATTTGCCAGATTGGCTATTAATAGCACACCAGGCTGATACACTGACTAACTATTCAACTTTCTGTTTCATTTTGGCTATCTATGCCTAGTTTAATAAGAGCAATGTGTCATAGGCCAAAAATCTGTTTTTAGTCTTTAGTCACATAAAAGGCACTAAGAAGACTAAAAATTTGTATGTATAGTTAGTGATAAAATAAAGAAATCATACAAGTAATTGTTTGAAAAACTTTATAGCATTTAGCAGTATTGGGCCTTCATTTTTGAGCATTATTTTTATTTACTATCTTATGACATCTAAAGGCTACTATGTTACAAATATAAACCATTTTATTCTAAAGAAGTTCACAGACCTTATTTTGGAAATAACAGCAATATGTGTTTCTTTCAATGGAGAGCACAATGAAATGTCTTGGCTACTATCAGTATTAAGAGAAACTGAATCTGACATTCGAGACGGAGAGGAGCAATTGCTGTTATTTTGGTTGCTGTTGTGTGTGGCTTCATCTGATAAAGAATCAGTGTCCTTATCATCTGGAAGAAAAATTTATCAGATCAGTCCAACATACTACCATGTGGTTTTAGGCAGTGCATTTTATAGAAAAATGCAATTACATTCATATGATTCTCTTATTCATAGGCAAATAGTTTATAAAAGGAAACCTTAAAATTATATCTTATTCATACAAAGACTAAGAAATAAGTCACTGACCCTACTTACTTGTTAAAGAAACCATTCTAATTGTTACTAATCAAATAATAAAGCTATTATATGTACACTTCTAAAATGTCATTAAATATATCATAACATCTATTACATATTCTTTGTAATTCTGCTTATAAATCATATTGGGGGAGAGAGAAAACTGTTAACATACAACTAATACAGAGGGGATCAAGTACAGCAGTAGAGAATAACAATGGAGATGATCAGTAAATCACAATACTGGAAACTGGGGCACTCATGGCCTCTGCTATACACAGCTGAAGCCTATGATAATGAATAATGTGAAATAGAGAACTTAACTCAAGGAGATAAAATGGACTTTAATATCACTGAGCTTTCAAACAAATAGGTATAATATCATCCTCCTAATCACCCAGGTTCACAACCTTACTATCATGCTCAATTCCTCACTCATATTCATCCCTACACATCTAAATCTGTTGTTAAATATTATCATGGCTACTTTTACATCTACTATTCTAGAGGCCCTGTTACTCTAAACATAGCTACTACACCCAGGGTCAGGCCCTTATCAGTTCTCACCTGGAATTTTACAATAGCCTTCCTATTGGTTTCCCTACTTCAAGTCTGTCCCCACTAATTTTCCTAGAGTGTGGATCTGACCAAGTCATCTCATGCTGATCACACTTACTCACTAGACTCAACTGGTTCCTTTTTACCTCCAGGATCAAATATAAATCCTCTGGCTTCTGAAGGCTTTCACAACTTAACTTGGTCTCTTCCTACCTTTCCAGTCTTCCTACACATATGCTCTGATGCAGCTATACAGCCCATTTGATAGTGCGCGCGCACACACACACACACACACACACACACACACACACTCACTCTCTCTCTCTCTCTCTCCCATCTATCTCTGCTCCCTCCCCACCCCTCACCTCCAATGCCCTCCTCATCTGTTTTTTGTTGCTCCCTTCGACTTAGCAAGAAGGCCTTTCCTGGTACTCTCTCTATGCCCCAGCCTGACCCAGTCCCGCCCCTCTGAGATTACCTTTAAATTGCTCTGTATATATATCTTTTATGTACATAGATATTTATGTGTTTTTGCATTTCTTTGTACCTACATTGCTTAGCACAGTGCCTGGTGAACAGTAAATACTTAATAACTACTTATTGACTTGGATGGAATTGTTAGTGCCAATGCTCTAATAATGAAAGATGATTGTGCTTTTTGAGTACATATGTCTCCCTTTTAGATTTTCTGTCTTCTTGTTGGACTACCAGCTGCTACTTCTCACTGCTGTCAGGATTACTAATAACAATCCCATTACTTCTTTCTGTTTTACTGTTTCTGATCTGAAAGTGACCTGGTCCCTCTGAGTATGACCAGGGCAGATCACTTAACCTTTAAGTGCTCCAGGCAACTCTCTCAAGAGTAAAAGTTGCAGAGCAAAGACAATTTGCATTGTACTAGCAACTTCTACACCAAGAGATCTTTAACAGGTTTGGTTTTTATCTTATCCTTTTTATTTTTTACTTTTTTAGGCTAGGCAATGGTGACTTGCCCAGGGTCACACTGCTAGTAAGTATCAAGTGTCTGAGGGCGGATTTGAACTCTGGTTCTCCTGACTCCAGGACCAGTGCTCTATCCACTGCACCACCTAGCTGCCCCTTTTTTATTCTTTTAAAAAACCCATTATTTTCTGGGAAAATAGAAAACCAAGCCGGTTAAACTGTATGTAAATAGCAGGAGGAGGCTATGAAGTGCTCTTTAAAGAGTAAATCTTAAGGGTTTTAAATGTATGAAACTTGTGACATATATTTTGACTTCTAAAAAGTCTTTTTCCCTTTTGTTTCTTCCTTATTCTTGGTTACATTTTGGATAGATGAAGTAGAGATTTACAGAATCTTTGTGAAATTTCTGTGTGTTTTCTGTACCTCTGTATCAACTGTATGATTGAAAATATGTGGCCTGCTATGGTAATTACTTGTAAAAGCTTTCCTGTTTTTTCTAATATTTTCATCAAGAACGCTTTTGACACAAGTACATCCACAGAAAAGGTAATGAAAAAAAAAAACAAAAAAACAAGTATGGGCAGCTAGGTGGCGCAATGGATAGAGCACTGGCCCTGAAGTCAGGAGTAACTGAATTCAAATCTGGCCTCAGACCAAACACTTCACACTTACTAGCTATGTGACCCTGGGCAAATCACTTAACCCCAATTGCCTAAAAAAAAAACCAAAAAACCGAAAAAGTAATGAAACATACTTCCAACACAGCAGAAGGGTAGAGGGATTATATCGTCTTTGAATTGAAGGTTTTTCTCAAATTGATTTTCTTTGTTACAAGGGACAATTCAGTTGAGTTTACTGGTTAGGAATGTGTATAACTGGGTTGTAAAGATGAAAATTATCAATAAAACATTTTTAAAAATAGAATTGAATCAAGGCAAGACTCTATCAGCACTTCTGCTTTTAGCAGAGAGACAGAAATAGAAATGGGGGAAGGGTAGGGGGAAGAGGTAGGAGACCAAAACACATTCAGATAGTTGAGGTTTATAATCAGATTACATCAGGCCTCTGTGTGTGCTTTGTAATCTGGCTTATAAACTCATAATCCTTCTTACTAGGCAGTCTGTAGGTGACAGTATTACTTCTGTTCCTCCCTCAAATAATCTCAGCCACGTTCCCCCCACAGGTTCATGGATTTCTAAATTGGAGTACATAAATTCTCAATATATTGGACCATTTCACTTCCTTTTTATCTGGTCTATTAGTTTAAATCAAGATAGATGCTTATATTTGCTATCTCAGAGATGAGTGAGGGGTGAGGAGGGCATGACCTCAGGCAGCAGCTGTAAGTAGAGGAAAAGAACCATAGACAAGGGATGTTGTAGAAGTAGTAAACGTAAGATCTGACAATAGATCGCATATGTGGGGTAAGTGTGAGGAGCTGAACTGAAACCAAAACTTCAAACCTAGGTGATAAACCTCCTAAGAGCATAACTATACTAGAGAGCTCAACTGATATTCAAAATAATTATTCTCAATTTATATAGTAAGGATTAAACTGTAAGCAATTTAAGATGCTGGGGAATTGTGTATAAACATCTTTTATAAAAGTTCCCATGTAAAGATTGTTAAAAATAAAAGCCTTGGCATTTAAAAGAGTAAACCCTCAACCACCTGGGAAGAAAAAGAAAAAACTTACTGAAAAATGTCTACCAGGTAAGGGTTATCAATAATTCAAGTAATTTTTCTTTTAATGTAATTAGAAATTTAAGTCAGGATGACTTACTCCTGGTAAGTATCTTAGTAAGATAGCATGCTTTCTACCTATATATGCCATAGTTTTCCAGCTAGTGACCCTAGGTCAAGTCATTAAAACTCCCTATGTGCCACAGCAACCCTCTAGGAATCATTTACTAAGTAATTATTTTTGGAGTTTCTTAACATGGTCTAAATTATAGGTCTTCCAAATACCTTTTTAAGAGGATGTGATATTGTTAATAGTTACAATATTAACTTGCAAAAGAGATACAAGGAGAATTACTAGACATCATTTTATAAAATTTTTTTCTTCATATATTCAATGAAACATATAAGAGAAAGGGTAGGAAGTTAAGAAAAGCTTAGTTAAATGAATAAATTTCCTGGACATGAATTGATATAACCTTTCTCTAAAGTGAGGTAGGCAAGAAATCAAAACCTTTAGAGAAGCAAATTACGAAATATTAAATCCCAATTAAATCAAGTTTTTAAAATAATGTTATTACTTTAAATTACTATTATATTCATAAAATCTCAATGGTACACATCTGACCTTTTTTGTTATTGCTAAGTGCCACCACTTTTGGCTGATTAATTGAAGTTTCAATTAATGGCGGTCGCATCTCTGCCATTTTCATCTCTTCATCAGAAGAAAGTTCTTCAGACTCCTGTTTAAAAAGGAAACATATTTATTTAAACTTCTACTTGAGTTTCTTAAGAATTTTTCAAATTAAATGTATGGTCATCAAGGTAAAAGAACTACAAAACTAGAGAGGAAGAATGCCTACGACATGATTTGGGTTATTGAAATATACAATGATACAACTACAAGCGTCAGTAACCTTTAGCATACGTGGCAAAAGACACACTGGCTACCTCTCATTACCAAGCAGCTGGTGACAATAGGTCCTAAGCCAAATTAGGTGGTCAGTGAAATCTATCTTTGGTGTTTTCTTACTTCACCTTCTATACCTGACCTTCCCACTTGTTAGAGGCCCCTTTTCTTCTAGCCCTCCCTTCTCCATCTTGCTCAATATTCTTTCAGGTTATTTATGCTACCTGAATATCCCCCTACAGACTTGCCTTTCCTCAAACTCTAAAATTACCCTTTTGCTTATTCCTGTATGGATTATCAAAGCTACATGTTATGGATTCTAATTAGGTGATTAAAGTTGTTCACATTACAGGGTCTATAACAGATATATATATATATATATATATTTTGGGGGGGGGCTAGGCAATGGGGTTAAGTGACTTGCCCAGGGTCACACAGCTAGTTAGTGTCAAGTGTCTGAGGCCAGATTTGAACTCTGGTCCTCCTGACTCCAGGACCAGTGTTCTACCCACTGCGCCACCTAGCTGCCCCTATAACTGATATAGTTTAAAGGCTTATTATTAGCCCAAATGAATCTTTAATAGGGAAAACGTGTCAGTGACATATTTCTGATTAGGGCACAATTCTTCAGGTGCTCCTTGTGTAGTCCAATTAGTTCTAATCAATTATGCTATTAGTACTTGATATAGCATTATGAAATCTACCAATAATTTGAGATTTTTTTGTAGTTAAACTCATTCCAGATGTGCTCCAACTTCTCATTTTTGGTGATGTTTTAGTTTGAACCTAAATACGCCTAATCACCTAATAAACTCTTGACCAGTTCAATATTTGGTATCCTCTGGAAACTCATCACCAAAACCCCTCATTAAAATAAGTAATATTTTTCTTCTACCTAATGCACAAAGACTCATTCTATGAAGAAACTGAGGCCTAGAGGAGTTAAGTGATTTGCCCAAGGTCAAACAAAGCATAGTAGAAGAATTTGAACCCATATTCTCTGACTCCAATGTTGTTCTTTCCATTAGAGTTTGCTACCTTCTAGATGCCTGAAGTAAAAGTGGGACTCACCAGAATGTCAGCAGGTTGCTTTTCTATCAGGCCCAAAGTTTGTTTCCTTTGTTAGAGAAATGCAAACCCTTTATCTAGTACTGTATGGGTAGAAGCTGTTCCTGGGGCAAAGGCAGGGCTAACCAGAAAGGGGAGAAAGCTGACGATTTATGGGCTGCTCTGATTCTTTCTGCAAAAGGCTTTGCTGGTCCCCTGAGTTGGTAGTGACTTTCCTCCTAAGATTTTATTGGTATGTTCTCTATCTCTCTATACACACATGGTATGTTAGCAGTCATGTTAACTCTCATATATTGTCAGTTCTATATTATCAACACTTTTGCGCTTGAGGGCAACAAATGCAATATGACATTAAAGGGACTCTCCTTAAGATCACTACTGCAGAAAAGTCAACACAGACAGTGTCATACCTCAAGCAAGTCCTCTTGGTTGACAATTTTCTTTGTGTTCTCAGAAGTTTTACCCTGGGGGATCATTTGTGGACTTCCAGCACTGTTCTCACCTTCAGGCTCACTGTTCTTTTGTACACAGTTTCCTATTACATACTTTTCTCTATCTTCTGCTTTGCTTTTTATTGGAGTAGTTTCTGAAGTCTAATAAAAGAAAGCAAAAACACAAACAATTTTGGTTCAAAATTAAGAATTTAAAAATTAACTTAATATCTCACTCCAGGGCGAAAATGTCATCAGTATTAAAATAGTTTTCTTTATGTTTCAGTGAGCAAAAATATATTGTATGAAAACTAAAAAAGTAGTGGTCCTAAGTTACTTGTTATGCATGATGCTTAGTAGCTCATGTTCTCCTCCAGGACATAAAAAAAAGGCTATATATAGGATTAGCTCTTGGTTTTTAGGGTTATCGTTTATCCTGAAATCAAACAACTTTTCTTTCTGTAATGTATATTCCCTGCAGGTTGTGTAATCCTTGCTGGCAAAGCTGATAAAGGATCTGACAATCTCATTACATAGGCAAAAGACTCTGAATGTGTCGAACCGCACTGACTTCTGTCAAGAATGTTTGATGAAGACAATATTTGACATGGTTGATTAGTAAGAATTAGGGCTAAATAACTAGCTTTTTGTAAAAATTTATACCCCATGTTCTTGAAAGGATATTAAATCTAATTTAAATGTGTTAAATGAATTTACAATTTTAAAAGGAAACAGAGACTGAAGAATTGTTCTTTAATTTGAATTTAAAAACATATCAGGTTTGCTTAAAGTGAGGTAGCAACAAAATTTACTGTCACAAAATAAAATTCTACAACTAATTTCCTACAAACATGAAACTACATATTAAATTATTAAGTGTTGTGTTTTTACTTTTAAGCTGCTCAAAACAATACAGTTATACTGAAATAACTAAACAAATAATTGTATAGCACTTAGTGAGAATGGTGTATGTCCAGGAAGATAAGAAAAGGTACATATGGATGTATGGCAAGTGGGAGATTTATATACTAGTGTGAGTAAATACAACTACATCAAGACTGAATCAGATTTACCAAGAAAGCTGGGTTCCCAAAGGTCTCATAAGAGATCTTAAATAGCTACCTCTATCACATCAGGGAGTTCTTTACTTGAGGATGGCATCATTAAAACATTAGCAAATTAAATTACTGAAATTTAGCACAGGAGTGCACCCAATATATTTGCTGGAGATGGATATTTCAGGATAAGCAGATAGCAATGTTACAAAAAAGCAACCACAACAGGCATTAGCCATCGATGGAATGACAGCTTATTACTATCAAGTTTTCCTCTTCTTCACCCCAACATTTACTATTACTTATGACAACTTTTGTTGCTCACCCCACTATCAGAGTGAGCTGCTTTACTCAGGCACACCAGTTGGCACAACTTTGGCATATTTCTTTTCAAAAATGTTGTATTTCTATAGGATGTTGCTGCAGCACCTCTCCCCCAGAAGTCCACCCTAACCCCAACAACATTCTCCCTCTCTGCACATGCCCTTCTCTCAGATGAGCAGTTGTAGGAGCAGTTGGGAGCCCTGAAATGTGGAGGTGAAATTTAGTTTGATGTGAAGGATAATTATACCAACTGTCATTTTCTTAAAAAAAAATTAAGCAGGTTTTTGTTTCTCTTTTAGAATTCCAAGGTGACTTATTTCTCTAACCTTCACACCGACATCTCTTATGGCATTTTGCTGATCGTCATGAGGCTGTGAATCTTTCCCAGAGCTCTCGGTCATTTCTTCCTCTTTTAATCTATGGACAATTGTTTGAACTGTTTTGACCATATTTTTAAGTTCATCTGGATATGGTGTTGGATATCTCTTCAGATTTCCCTCCTATATGTATAAGGAAATAAAAATGAAACCACAGAGAGTAAAAACACCAACAGTTTTACTGTGATAAAATGAAATTTATCTTTTGTGTTAAAAATGTTAAAGTTGAATTAGATAGTACTAAATAATTAATCTTATCACAAAACAATAAATCATTTCAACAGACATTAAAATGCAACTTCATAATTTCTTTAAAAAAAAAAAAAAACCAACACCAAAGCATAATTGACTTTCAATTGTCCCTTTCTTTCTGGAGGGGAGTGAATGAAGTTATAGCTGACTCCAAGTTACATATAGATAACATCACACTTCAAAGATTAATGTGCATATATTCTTTGTGCCAGTGCCCAAATACCTTCTGGCTTGGCTTTTATCATCATTGACTAGAAATCTGGGTTAGTTCATGATGGGCAAAAAATTAATTAATTAATTTCCCTCTAAAATTTTAAAGCATATCAACATGATTTTTGGTAATACACATATAAAACATCAATTCTATTACTTCTAATCTATTGCTCAACAACTAAAACAAGAGTATGGAAAAAGAAAATTCAGGGTGAAAATAACCAACTTACCTCATACTAATTTCTCTCTTTTTTTAACTCATAACATTTGTCTATACCACCCAATTTGGCACTTAATTTACCCACCATTTTGTATTGCTTTTCACTCATTCCACTTGTCCTAGGGCTTATCTTTCCAATAAGATTAGAAGTTCCTTGAAGGATTCTCTTTTTCAGTCTCCTAACTACTCAGGACAGTGTTAGGCACACAGTATTGAATAAATACTGCTGATTTAACTTCACATTTGGAAAGAGAAGAGGAAATACTAACCCTGGGAGGTGCCTCCCTTTCATCTTTGTCTTCATCACATTCAAATGCCACTTGAGCCCGCTGCTTCCTTTGTTCCTCCCACAAAGAAGGATTAAAACTTTCATTATCTGATATGAACATAACTAAAGGGAAAGGGGGGAAAAGAGTAATTATTATTTACTATGATTATAGGAAATAATTTCTTACTCATTGTTTTGAGTAATTCATGTAAATATGCATCTAAGTCAATCAAAGCTAAGCCAGGTCAGAAGCCTTAGGCCATCAGCACCTACATAGCACGTTGTCTTTCTTAATAATGACACAAATTCTAATTGAAGGAAAATCCTCCCTAAAGCAGTATTTGTCTCAGTATTCTGTCACCATGTTCCTAAATGGAGATGGTCAACTAACAAAATACATATGCCGCTTTTGTACTGTAGATTATTAAAGAGAGATATGGCAGCATCTAAATTATTTCACTCAGGTTTTTAGACTTTGCTAATCTGAATATTAATCGTTACAAAAATGTATATAATATGATACACAGAGAATACAACATGTGCCATATAATATGTAGGAAAGTTGTATGAAGATGAGAAGTCACAGGATCATGCAATCACAGGTTTTGGAAATGACCTCAGAGATCATTGGATCATGGATTTAGAATTGGGAGTCCTGAGAGATGAAAGAGGGTAAGCACTTAGGGTCAGATGACCTGAAATGAATTTCTGACTTTGCCAGGTACTACTTCGTGACCTTAGGCAAACCTATGTTTCCTCAATTGTATAACAAGGATTGGATGACCACCATGGGGCCCTCCCATTATAAATCTATGACTCTCAAAGGTCATGTTGTCTAGTTACGTTGTTGAAGTACATAATAACATAAATATAAACAGATTATATTGTGTCTAATTACATCTTGAAATCATATATACAGAATAAGGAAGATTTCAATTAATGCAGACTTCACAGCTTTCCATTTAAAATTCATTAGAATATTTTTCAGATTTGCTGTATCCTAAGAATTCATCAGTCTGAAGCCAACCTGGTGATATATTTCTCTGAACTTAGTGACATTTGTCCACGGATGGTAGATATATTATCTGTCACCAGACTCAAAGTTAAAGTAAGCAATTCTGTGTTTCATATTAGCAGCTAAAGTACCCATTAAAAAAGTCAAATAAAAAATAAAAATCAATACAAAATGTAAACATGTATAGGTTGTGTTATTTCACATGACACAGAGGCCGCACAGAGCTAAGTAATGGGATATTCTTGGTAAAAGCAAAGCAAAAAGATATGCTAAAAATTTGGAAAGAAAAAAAGGGAAGAGGAATTCCTAAGGATTAATTAACATCATTAATTAACATCACTGTTATAGTTCACTTCCTCCTAGTACAAAGGGCACTGTAAAATTAGGTCCTGGCTTGTCTTTCAAATACAAAACAAATTATTCATACAGATTAAAACTAACAGTTATTACTATACCTGAAAGAAGTTAATATAAAATCTTAAATTCCCTTATTATTAAATACAGTTAAGTTCAATCTAAATTATTATTGTCAATAGTTTAAAGAATCCAAATCATCAGACAATATAATTGGTTGTATATTTTGGACATACATTCATCTTTTCCTTCTCTTCTTATTTCCAATTCCATACCAAGAAGGGCCTTCTGACAAAGTATTGGAATTGGAGGGAGGAGGGAATTAGTTCTAATTATTTTGCTTAAGGTTGTTTTTGTCTTTTCAGTCATTTTATATTCTTGGTTTCTTTCTCATGTTATACCTTTGCAGTAGTGGAAATGCTTTTAAAGGTGAGAATTTGTCATGTACCTTACTGACAGCAGTTTAAAACTTGGATGTATGTATGTATGTATGTATGTATGATCAACTTCTTTCGCCCTGATGCAATATGCTAGTCTTATAGTTCAAGTATTTCTAAGATACATGGGAAGCATGTTCAGGATTAAAGTGTTTAGGATTTAAAGGGCTTTTCTAAGAGTTGAAAAGAACATCTTTGTTGCATTGGAATTTAACAAGAAATAAAGAGCCAATATTTACCTCAGATGTCACAATAAAAGATGGTATTTATAGCAGGATTGACACACTTTCATGATTTGCAAAGTGTTTCCCATACATTGTGCTTTTCATCATCAGAACAACCAATTATGCTGGTAGGTTATCATCATTTTACAGGTGAAGAAACTGAGACCATTGATTGGTTATGTGCCTTGCCTAAAATCACACAGCTGAGGTCACACTTGAACCCAGGTCTTCTAACTTGAAAACCAACAAATGCTTTTTTCCCACTATACTACCCACCCCAGCATGATAGCTGTGGTCAACTACATGAAAGGCTGTCAAATGGAAAAAAGGATTAAATGTTCTGTGTCTGGCCTTAAAGGGCAGAACTAAGAGTAACAGGAAGAAGTGGCAAAGAAAAAATTTAGGCTTGGGCAGCTACCTTAGCAGATAGTAGTAGGTTTCCTCTCATCGGAGGTATTCAAGTAGGGATTGTCAACAGGCAATCACAATGTCATGAGACTTATATAAAACCAGGTTTATTACAAGAGAGATGAACATGCAAGTGGAGCCCAAAGGGTTCCCAGTCTTTACTGAACTTTACATTTTTATAATAGCAGGATAAAGGGAGGAGGGGATATCAAGAAGGGATGTGACATGGGAGGGGGAACTCTACAGCAAAGGTGAGAAAAAAGATAAGACCACTCTCCATGGGAAGGAGCAAGGAGATGGCAAAAGCCTTATTCTCTTCCCTTGGGAACTGCTAGACTCTGAAGATAGGAGGGTCTGCTCATCTGTAAAGGACCCCAGCTGCACAAGCATTATCCCAGCCTGGCACAGACTGGCTGTCACCTGTCTTGCCCCCCCAGGACACATAGGGAGTCCAGCTTGGGGTGCAGCAACAAATTCTGTCAGCTCAGGGGGAGCTTCATCCATGACATATTCAAGGCCTCCTGCATGCTCTGGATCCAGTGTTTCTGGAAAATATAGCGCTCAAAAAGACAAGTTCAGGGGACCCCTTAACAGAATCATTTCATTCTCTGTACTTGTAACACTTCATCCAGGGGATATATGTGCCAGGAACTGACATATGTAAGACACTTAAACATTGTTGACTGACTAAAATATAAGCTTCCTGATTATGTTGCAGAGGGCATTTTTTAGTGCAGGTACAAGTTATATTAGATGGATTCTGAAGGCATTTCCAGTTGTGAAATTCTGTGATTTCAACTAGCTTGCTAAACATAGGCTTGCTAAGCAAAAAAAGTCATGGAAAAATAATTAAGCTGCAGAGGATAGATCCACAGCATGATATGCAAAACTTTTTTCATTCTTGATGTACATAAATATTTGTGTCTGTTGGTGACTGTCAAGTTTGTAATTTTAAAATATATATTTAAAAAATTTTTTTAAAAGAAAGAGTAATGCCTAATTACTCTCGATGTTACGAGATGGCTAGATAGGGGAATATTAATTTAATATACCTGACTCCTCACAAGATCCTGGTAAATTAGATGGAAAGGTAGAATGAGACAAGAGGAAAGTCATTTGTATTTGGTATTCACTCAATTATCAAGCTGAAAGATAATTACTAAGATCAATGTGGATTTCTACAGGGCTCTCTGTCTTTGGCTTCAGTTCTGTTCATTATTTTCATTAATGCTTTGGATGACATACATATGGCAAGCTTATAAAATTTTCTAATTACATAAATCTGGAAAAGATGGAGAATAAATTGGATGATTCAGAATCCAAAAAGAATTTGAGGGGGAGATGACTGTTTTAAGATATCTGAAGGGTCATAACACATAAGAGGGATTGGATTTTTACTGCTTAGTAATAGAGGGAAAACTAACACCAGAGGGGACAAATTAACAAGAATGGAGATTTCAAATAAAGTTAAGAAAACTTCCTAAAAATCAGAGCTGACTAAATATGTAACGTGCAACCTAGACAAATGGGCATCTTCAAGTCAAGGCTGACCAAATTAAGCACTGATCTACAGGATGCTTTCTCAGTCAGTCAGTCAGTCAATAAGGATCAATTAAGCATCAGCCAAGTACTGTGCTAAGTGCTGAGGGATCCAAAGAAAGGCAGACACAGTCCTTGCCCTCAAGAAGCTCACACTCTAACAAGCAAGACAGAGATGCTAGACCCACGGCTTCACTGGCACAGGGAGCTGTCAGGTAAGGAAACCCTTTCTATTAAGGCGTGTCGGTGATGTCCTTCCTCTAGAGAGGGGTTGGGGGAGTCCAACTCAAACAGAAAGAGAGGCCATTAAATGTACATAAGGATCCCTGGGGGCACATATGGACTTAGAAAATCACATATTAACATTACCTATGTTCTATGGTATTTTTATTTATTTTGCTAAACATTTCCCAATCACACTTTAATCTATGTTGAGCTGCAGCACTAAGGAGTATTGTAGACCACACATGTTTGATACCTCTGATCTAGAGCCATGATAGGTTAAGCGACCTGCCAAAGTGATGAAGTCAATGTGTGTCAAAGGCAGAAACTGAACATAGGTCTTTCTGGCTTCAAGGCTGGACTTACCTATCTAACAATTGTCAACTTTCAGTGAGAGAGACAACACATAAATGAATTTGTAAAAATTTGTAAACAATTAATGGAAGGTAACCCTAGAGTAAAAGGACCCAACAACCAGACAGAGAGCCTGGAAAAGGTGGGAAAGTTTTAAAGATTTCAGAGATTTCTGAGTTGGGGTGAGGGGGAGAACATTTCAGGCATGGGAGAACACACAGGGACAAAACATGGATTGCTGTGTGCGAGTAACAGCAAGGAGGCCTGTGTAGACAGCAGGGAGTAATTATAAGAAGCTGGCAAAGGGAAGGAGCCAGGATGTGAAGGGCTTTAAATGCTAAACAGAGGAAAGAGAATTTATTGCAATCACATCAACAAGACTTTTATATCCACAGGGATAGAAAAATAGTTTTGTTATTTAGATACCTTTGTTTAGAAAGGAATTTTATCCATACTTAATCCTCTCTAGTGTCTTTGTATTTTAAACCTGAAACTGTTGTGTGGCTTCAACGGTGATAGACAGAAACAGATGGCAAAAAGCGAAGAAATGTGTTCTTGTTCTGTATACACCACTGGAAAGCCCTTTATTCCACTATAGTGAATGGGTATTTGTGTCCAAGTAGGGATCCTCTAATGGATTTTGTTTTCCATTTCTTGAAATTTTCTAATTGTGTACAATAAGGAATAAAAATTGAGTAAAAGAAGTTACTAATAACCTGTTAATGAACTCATTAATGTCTCTGTAAAGTTACTTTCCCATTATTTAGCCAGGCATTTCTGATGAACTCCCCAAATTCCCTTCAAAAGATCTTAGGTCTTAAATAACAACAACAACAAAAAACTTTATAAGCTTCCTTTTAAATGGTCAAGCAGGTAAAAAAAAATTAAACTCCTACCATCTTCAGTCCTTGGCTGCTGAGGGAACATGTAGTTTGTAAGCACCATTTTCTGTGTTTCTGGATCAGTCTCTTTTTGAAGAGGTATTAGGGGTTTGGACTAGAAAAAGAAAACAGGGGATTAAATATTAATTTTCCATTAATGTTCCTATTCGGATTTTTCCAAGTAACCATTTCTCCCAGGGCGTCCACATATGCTACCTTTTAGTAACTTTTTAAAAACAACAATATCTACAAAGATCTGTTGGCTAAAATCTAAATTAGTCTTCTGAAAAGGCAAGCTCACATAATTATATCATCTTTAATGAAATAATAATACATTTATAGCTAATATTCATTAGCAAATATTAAGCATATAACATTATTACTAAATCCTGGGGAAGATAAAAGGTTTAGATAAAGACATGATTCCTACCCTCATATAGCTTGTAGTCTAATAGAGGAAATCTAATAGTAAGAAAAATAATAGCAACTTTATGGTTCAAAGCACTTTCAGATATATTGTATCATCTGTAATTCAAAACAAGCCTGTGGGAAAGATAGTACATTATCCTTATTTTGTAGATAAGGAAACTGATGCTCAAAAGTGAAGATAGTCAATAATCTCTCAATTCCCTTTAACTATGAATTCTATGACCTATCAATGACAATGAGTGGGAGATGATCTCACCAATTAACAAACAGAAAATTACACCATTTCCAAGATCCAAATTTACACTCCAAACTCAATCTTTTCTATTTTTTGCCTCACTCACTTTCTTATTAACACTAAAACTGCTTTTTCTCCTCACTAGGATGTCAAAAACCACTGTCCTTATTACCCTGATCCATAGTGTCCCTTCATCCCCCATGCCCAGGCTGCGATGTGGGCATTTCACTGGTAACTGCATCCCTGGGCAACTCCCTCCATGAGATTTCTCTACTTCTACTTAGGGCTACTGAACATTGCTAGATAAAATCAGGCTGCTCTTCATCTGAATATGGATCAATAAGAAGATGCCTTTATTCATATAAATCCCTATACCAACCATTGCAAACCTTTCTTCCCAAGCTTGAACCTATCCTTCCCCACCCAACCCATGAGAGAAGATGACTGAGCTCCGTACTTGACTGACAAGTCTTAAGAAATTTGAAGTAAACCCTTCTAACTCTCCTCCTCCAATCTTCAGAATTTGTCAGATCCATCACCTACTCTCTCTTCCTCTGTTGTTTCAGAGGAAGAACTTCCCCTACTGCTTGATAAGGCTAATCCCTCTAACCTATACCCTTGATACTTATTCACCTCTACCTACCTGAAGATCTTGCTTCAGCATTGTTCCCTTGCACCCACACACCCTCTACAAAGAAGCCCAGGTCTGCCTAATCCTTAAAAAGAAAACTTCCACTGACTTTTGTACTCATTCATCTACCATCCTTCTTTCTCTTTCCTTTCCAAAATACTAGGAAAAATTTTCAACATTTAGTCTTAACTTTTTACCATCTCTCTTCTCCTCAATTCCTTGCAATTCTTCCATCACCATTCTATGGAACCAGCTCCATATAGATCATCAAAAACCACTAATGACCAAATTCAAAATGAGCTTTTGTTTTTCAGTAGTTAACAGAAGTTCATGTTTATAAAAAATTAAAAATATATTGGGGCAGCTAGGAGGCGCAGTGGATAGAGCACCGGCCCTGGATTCAGGAGGACCTGAGTTCAAATCCAACCTCAGACATCTAACACTTACTAGCTGTGTGACCCTGGGCAAGTCACTTAACCCCATTGCCTAGCAAAACAAACAAACAATAAAAATATATAAAAGATTTAAAAATTATAAATAAATATACAAACAAAATGTTTAAAAAGACATAAAAACTTGTAAAGATTTATAAAAGACTTTCCACATAAAAATTCTGTGAGGTAGGTAGTATATTATTATCACCCCCATTTTACAGATGACAGTAAGGCTCAGAGGAGTTTAATAATCTTCCCAGGGTAATGATCGGTAAATTTCTAAGCTAGGTTTCAAACAAAAGTCTCTTCAGATCTAGTGCTCTTTATGCTTCACCATTCTACAACCAGCATTTGACACGGTTCACTACTTTTTCCTCCTACATATGCTTCTTTCTTGGAAAAGGAGCTCAAGGACAAGATAAAGAGAAAGAACCACCAAAAGAGTGGTATCTCTGAAGTCAAGTTTTCTTTTTGGTCCTCTTTTCCTTCCTTATATTTATTTCTCCCTGGATAGTCTCATTCGCTCCACAGCTTCAACTATTATCAACTACTATCTCTACAACTCCAAAGTCTCTTTCTCCAGCCAAGATTTGTCTAAGTACCAAATCTGCATCTCTAATTACTTAAAGAATACTTCCTTGATGTCCTAATGATAACCCAAACTTAACATGGCCAAAGGGAAGCATAAGAGCTTTCCCTTTAAACTTGTTATTCTTGACTTAGAGCAGCCTTCTTTTTTTTTGCCTATCTTCCCCAATCTAATCAACAAACCTGAATAGTAGTAGCAACTGGTAGCCCTGGACACTAATTTTAAAGCCTTCTAATAATAAAACTTTAGGGTCCTCAAAAGAAGTAAGATCTTGGCTGTATTTCAGGCCAAAATTAAACCTATTTATCATTAACCTTCTTCTAACCTGGAAAGTAACCAAAAAGAACAAATCTTAATTTTCATTTAAGAATTAGAAAAAGAAAACAATGCTATTTCCTTAAAATTCATAATACACTTATATTGATGCTTGATAACATAATTCAAAAAATGCTACAGTTAGAAAACATTCATTCTCCCCCTTTTTAAAGGAAACATTTTGCTACTAAAATGGTAAGAAAGAAAGAGGCCACAAAACACAGCTTTTACATGTAAAATACTCCTGAATGTTTCATAGCTTAGGGAGATCCCTGAGTTGAGAGCTGCCAGGAACATGATTACCATCTTCCTCCTCTCTCAGTTCTCCCTTTGACATCCCACCTGCTGCTCCTAAAGAGGCATTGTCACAGCAGGTGACCGAGGCCAACGACCTTTCTGCTTTTGCTTAAGTGATTCTCTTTAATGGCTCAACTGAGCCTTCAGAATCATGACTGCTGACAACTAATGCTGCTCTTCAGGGAGAAATGAAAAAAAACCCAATTTTCTTAAAATTAAGGAAAGAGGCGGTAGCTAGGGTAACAAATGAGTGACAAAATGGAAGAAAATGTTTCACTATCTTCTCTGACTTTTACCCTAATTGTCTGCAATAGAAAATTCTGTTATATACATACCACAATAAAACCAAATTTTAAAAATAGTGAATATGCAGGTAATATTTTCAACATTTTTCAATGTGTATATATTCAAACGTATTAATTGTGGAGAACACAGAGTAACATGAACTATTTACTATGCGGTAATAAACCGTCTAGTATATTCTTTTCTACTATTCAGAAAATTGTGTATTTACTCTAATCCTAAAGTTTCAATTGTAGGTGAATTAATTCAAAAAAATTTTCAAAATTGAAGGAATTAATACAAATTACAAAATGCTGTAGAGTGAATGTGCATGTAATATGAATTTCAGTACCATGGACCACAGTAAACAGATAATTGAGCTGCTGTGGCTAAAAAAATTCTTAACCTAGTAGCTAACCTTTTAATGATAAGCATTTCAAAAAGCTGGCTTTTGGACCAAGTTCACTGCTAGGCTAGTATCTGATGCTTACACTCTGAGGTTAGAGGTCTTCAAGAGCTGTAATATATTAGTAAATTTATATATAGCTTTAAAGATTAGAAAAAACTTAACATACATCACGTCACTTGAGCACACATTATCTTAGTGAGGCATCTGAGTAAAACTTTAGTATAGGATACTTGTAATATACATTTACAGCCAAATTATTAAGTTAGAATTTATAGATACATAATATGAATAATGTGGGCAGCAGCTAGGTAGCATAGTGGATAGAGTACCAGGCCTGGAGTCAGGAAGACTCATCTTCTTGAATTCAAATCCAGCTTCAGACACTTACCAGCTGTGTGACCCAGGGTGACATTTAACCCTGTTTGCCTCAGTTTCCTTATCCATAAAATGAGCTGGAGAAGGAAATGGCAAACCACTCCAGTGTATTTGCCAAGAAAAGTCCAAATGGGGTCACAAAGAGGGGAACACTACTGAAAATGACTGAACAACAAAACATGAACAATAACTATAAAAAAATTACTTTCCAGTTTCATGACTGGGAAAGTGTATATTCTAGAAATTATGCAATATCAAATTAATATGCTAATAAAATGAAAGAAATGCATCAACATTCACCAAAGAGAAATATTCTATGTGTAGTTTAGCTTTTTGGTATCTCACATGTTGATAAGTAAACTGAGAATAACAGTAGTGTGAATTATAAGAAAAAAATTAATGCTTGTAATCCACCCCAAATATATAAATATTGATATTATCATTAATTCAGATAACTGAAATGAATCATCATATTAAAATTATACATATGATTATCACCACCCTGGAGATTAATTCCATTCTATAGTTGGGAAATCTAAATATACTACATTTAACTGATGTACCTAAGGCATAGAATGAATCAGAAACGTGAAAAAAAAATTTAAATTTAAAGTTGACTTCCAAGATTATATTTGGTCAAAATATGTGATGCTTCACAAGTTAAAAAAAAACAAACAAACTTTAGTTTACCAAAAGTGACATTCTAAAGAAATGAACAGTAAGAAAATATGCAATTATACAAATTAAAATCTAGCTAGAAGAGCACAGGTATTTTTAGCTATAGGAAAACTACAATGGAACTTTAAGACATTGAATTCTGCCAAAGTTGGCTGCCATAAAAGTATACTGTATCCCAACATTCTGACAAAAATCTAACTTAATTTTGTCTCTCAAAATAACACTGATATTGGCAATCACTAATGTATCTTCTTCAGTATGAAGATCTCTGCCACGTATTATTTCTGTGACCTTCATAGGTCAATTTCACTGCTCTGACCCTCAGTTTCCTCATCTGTAAAATGAGGATCTTGGACTGAATGATATTTAAGGTTTCTCTTCTGGCTCTAAATCTCAAGATATGATTGCCCTAAGTTTGCTATCACCAGAAAGACTTTGCCAGCTTAACTTATAAGTTTTGTAAGAAGATGGTTCACTTCTGAAAACTTTTATTATTCAAATGTAATAAGGTGAATAATAGCATATTGATCTGCACTTCCAAACTCTTTCTTCTTGCAACATGGCTTGTATGAAACCTGAGTATAGCCTACAATAATGTTCTAAGGACAATATACAGCTTAAGCCTCTCTTGTCTCTGTAGCTTCCCAACTGAACTGCATATAATAAGTACCTTTGTCAAATGTCCTTCCCACCTACCAACTACAAGTGGTTACCTGTATCTCTGATTCAAGTCTCTTAAAGATAAGGGTGTCACTCATCAGCATAACTCTTCCTTCTTACACTCCTAAAGCTAGAGAGGACTGCTAAGAATACATTACTAGGATCATCCCCTTCCCAAAGGGTTCACATTTTGTGCATCAGTCTTTACTACCACTCCCCAATAAATAACTTCAGGGCTACTACTTGATGATGCAAAGATGGCTCAATGGAGTTCTATGTCAGAGTGGAAAAGTAGACAGAGGAGTGGGTCCCTCAGAACAAAATGGATCTAATATCTTGTCCCACTCTAGTCCCACATTTTCAAGAAGAGGAACTGAGGCCTGGGGAAGTTAAATGGCTTGCCCAAAGTCACATAGGATTGGAACAGCACAGCAGGGATACAAACCCAAGTATTCCGAACTCCACATTCACTGCTCTTTCCACTCCATCATATTTCAACTGAGCAACAGACTGTCCTGAGAGTACTGTGAGAAGAAGGCATGTGGGAAGGACCCATTTGTGTTTGGTCTTGGTTGAAAAAACATCAAGTTCAGAGGTCCAAGTACTCTGTCTCCAAAACTAGAGTTGTGGAAGGTAATAATGTTTTGTATACATTTGTGGATTCTTTTTTCTATCTAAGAGACTTCATTTTAGGATAACAGCCTATTTTAAAATCAATGTGGATATCAATTACCACAAAATCTTAGGGCCAAAATGGTTTCCTAGTATTAGTCTACTGTAGATAGTTTAAAAAGATGCCAAGCCTGTTATATGACATCACAAGTAAGATTATCATATATCTGCATGGTGACTTGAGATACTATTTGTAAAGCATTTAGCAGAATGCCTGGCACATAGCAGGCATTTAATGCTTATTCCCTCCTGCTCTCCCCTGTCCTCCAGAAGGCCAGACTGCTCAACAATATAGGTTCAGACTAAAAGTGTAATACAGAGAACCCTCACCTTAATTCTCTTGCAGGAAAAACAGTTTTCTTAAAAGTTCTGCACCTACCCTGGTAAAATAATTTAAACCACATGTTCTCAATTTCTTGAGAGGTAGGAAGATCAAAATTAGAACCTCAGTAAAGACCTATATCTAACCCAGTGTTTCCCTCACAATCCATGTATCAGATCATTCTTAAAGAAAAGACTTAGGTTAGTCTAATATGATGTGCCTTTCACAAAGCCCTGTACCCCTTTAATTTCTGCTATGGCAAAACTATTCTTAAATATCTTCTTCATAAAACAATTAAGATAATAATATACCAGTGAAGTAGCAAAACTGGTTTTCCTACCTGGTTATCTGAGAGCCACATAGCAGTCAGCTGCTGTAGCTTTGTAAAACTAAAGGGCAAATTCTTCATCCTGTCAAAGAAAAAGAAGAAGAAAATTGAACAAATGTTCTTCAATATTCTAATACACAACAATGCCGCACTTGCAATATATAAAAAGCTTCAGAAACATTTAACAAACATAGAATCTTATAATAACTGCTGACATCTGTCTACTATTTTATGCAAAGTACTTTACATATATTTTCTCATTTGAGCAGATTTACAACCTTGTGAAATAAACTCAACAGGTTATTACTATCTTCATTTTACAAACAACAGAACAGTGGCTCAATGAGATTAAATGATTTGACAAGAGTTACACCACTAATAAGGGTAAGGAACATGATTAAAACCCAGGTTTCTTCTGACTCCAAAGTTAGGAATCTTTCCATTACACCAATGTTTTAAGGCACTAATTACATTGGAATGTTTAACAGACATATGAACCACGAACAGCCAGCTTATAATATAACTATGGATAGACGAAATAGCATCTAATGTCTGAGGGTCTTTTTATGGTTTAAAAAGCTACTATTTTTTTCCAGTTGAACTAATTCAAGTATAGCTAAAAAAGCTGTGGTGGTGTTATGTAAAGTTAGTCAATGCTGATTTAGAATGAAACCAAACAAAATATTATGTGGAGTAACATAAAAAATACAAAGGAAGATTTTTTTTAAAAATCAAATCTTTTTTGCTTAGAGACGTCCATACTTTCTGTTGAGCACTCCCTAAAATTATTTACATTTCTTTATATCGTAGAACTGTACAAACGTCGCATTGTTTAGGTGAATAGGTATTTTATATTACGACTATTTTCCAGGCTGATAACAAACCAGAGAAAATGGAAAGGTTCAATAAAATCTCCTAAGCTAAAATGTCAACACCTACGCATTCTTTGAAATATTTTTATCTAGTGAGTATGAGATTAATTCAAAGTTCTAGTTCTTACACAGGAAATCTGGATTAAAGTTGGATAGAAATGAAATATAATGACTATTAGGGGTAGACTGTATTCCTTCACTAATCTCTATCATTCTATCTAGTAAATCTGTTGTCACTGCTATACAGGGAAATGCCAAATCTCATTTATGTTCAGAAATATCTTGCATTCAAAAGCAGTACTGTTTAATACAGTAACAATGTGACATTTTCTGCCACAATATGTCACAAAAGTAACTTCCTACGATGAAATTTCTACAACGTGTTCCAGGAAACAGTGGCAAGTAAAACTGCTTGCAATATGATAAATAACTAATATCATATAAACCAGGATAATTTTTTCATATGAAAACCAAATCTGCCAAGTAAAGAATTCAGGAAAGTACAAGGATTACATTTCATATGTTCTAATAAAGTTTAAAAACAAAAAAATGGATAGTAAAACATTTCTATTCAGTATCTATACCACAAGGCATATAGAACCACAAACCTGTTGTCACTCAAATTAATGACTTTTAATTTTTGCATATCACCCATTTCTTCTGGAAGAGTCTCAAGTTTATTAGAATGGAGAAAAAGCACAGTAACATGCTTCCAGCTGCCAATCTGAAATAGCAAAATGGTGAGTTTCTCAATGGTAGAGATAAAGAATTTAGAATATTTGAAAAGAAGATTTATATTTTATATTCAATAATATTTTAATTAATGGTAATTTAATGATTTTTAAATTAAAATAGTACTATCTAGTTTCATAAAAAGCATAATGTTTCCTTTTCAAATTTATTTTGTTTATGAAGAAAAACATTTTTATCTTTCTACTAAATAACTCATGGTTAATTAGTTGAGAAGACAAACTAATAAAAATATTCTTTTGGGATGTGCAGCCAAAGAAGTAATTTGTCTAAACAAATAGTGAAATAAAAATTACACGCTGACCAAAATTGCATTTTTGTAGTTAAACATTAAACACAAAGTATCAGAAAAAGGTGAATAAGCTCTAAAATACATAAATCTAATTTAAATACATAAATCTAATGTAGTACCTCTGGTGGTAACTGCTGTAAGTAATTGTGAGCTGCAGCAAACGTTCTTATGTTAGAAAGTTGCCCAATGGAGGAGGGCAAAGCTTCTATTTCATTGAAACTACAGTCCAATTCTTCTACTGATACAAGTCTACAATGAGAAAATTTTAAGTTTAATTTTTCAAGTATGCATAATCCAAACTCTTCTAATATTCTTATACATATAAGAATCCTTTAATTCTTTATCTTGTTCTTAACCAAACCTATGTCAATCCTGTATTTTCAAACTGCAGGCCAGCCCAATATTGAGAAATAACTTCAATGACTTTACTACCCACGTCCACTTATCTTGATAATTCTTATACTTCAATGGCTCTGCAATTTTATCAGTCCACCACAGATTCAGATTGTAACCTCTTCATTCCATCTTACCCTGTGCAATTTCTTTTCTGATTTTCCACAAAACCTCCATACAGAATTTACCTCATACCTTACAGATCTCTATTTCCATAGTATGAATGTACTACTCCTGTTGTCTAGTTTCTTCAATGTTTCCCAAGTACATCTCTTGCTATTGGTGCTTTGTCTTTACATCACAGTCATTTCCAAACATAACTGACAAAATGAAGTCTCTTTGAGACAAAGAAAAACAATGAAGCAAAAGACTGATACAGAAACCTTTGTATGACAGCATATACAATATTGTTTTCTGGTAGTTTTCCATCTTTGTGCTGTGAATGAGGAGTATTACATTATCTCTTCTCCAGGACTTTGTTGGTTTTTAATTACTCAGAGTTAAACTTCTTTTTAATAATGTTACAGTTACATTAATTGTAGTATATATTGGGATTTTTTTTGTTTCTACTCATTTTGTTGTGTATCATTCTGAATATATTTGTCATTTCTTAAAATATAGTAATATTCTATTATTCATTCACCATGGTTTTTTTTTTTTGTTATTCCCACACTGAAGGGTATCCATTTTATTTCCAATGCTTTGCTATCACAAAGAATGCTGCAATGAAGTGTGTATATATGTGTGTGTGTGTGTGTGTGTGTGTGTGTGTGTGTGTGTGTGTGTTTACACACCCCTTTTCTATATTTGATTTCCTTGGGGCAGTGGGATACCTAAGTCAAAAAGTAAAGGGAGTTTAATCTTGTAGAATTCCAAATTCAAAGTTCTAATGGTTGTACCAACTAAACTTAACAAACAATAGAACTCCAAGATAAACACAAGGCATGGGGAAAGAGAAGCTCTTGGGAAACATCTTTTTTTGCATTTAATGCTAGATGGCCCACAGACAAGGACTCTAAATGTCTAGTGATGAGAAAAGGAGCTCTAGGATAGGCTCCAGACAGTAAGTATCTCTACAGACCAGGGGTATCAAATTCACATGTAGCCTGAAACAGATGAAAATATAACTGGGAAATGTTCAGCAAAGTAAGTAAAAATACAATATATGGATAATGTTAATTTGTGGTTTTCTAAATCACTATGTGACCCAACTTTATCTGAGTTTAACAACACTGCTGGAGACCACAGAGCTTTGTGGTGGAGAGATGGGCCAAATGGCTGCTGTGGACTCATCTTTACACAGCTAATTTTGCATGCCACCAGTCTAGGGTCCAAAGAAGTTCCCTGCTATAGAAAAAAGGATTCTTCATTCATATCTACATACTGCTGCTAAGAAGGAACCAAGCCTAGATCTTTCTAGTTTCCCCAAAGAAGGTAGTCCCAAGGTATCAAGGTGAGAGATATGAGGTCTCATATCTCATGACATAACAGATCATTAAAAAAAAGGCAGGGGGAGAGGGGAGCTAATGTTTTAACTGAGATGTTCTTTCTTCCTCCTGTTCATTTCTCATTTAGTTTCTAACAGGATTATATCACCTGGATGCCCATTAGTAACTTCAGGACAGGACCAGATCCTAACAATTATTCTATTCTCAAATCACCAGTTACTCACAAATTGAGATAAGGAGCTGGAATATGCTATCTCATGAAAAAATGACATTGGCAGCATAGCTTAGAAGAGCATCAGAGCATACAAATCCATACCCAGTGTGCCTGTTAATTAGCAACCCCACTTAAGTCTCTTCAGGAACTCAAGGTTAAGGGTGCAACGGAATGGAAAAGGAATGCTTATGGAATCCACATGGGAAAGAGCTGCTTTGGAGGATAATGGCTAAGAGAACAGGGTTCAATGTCTATGTCAATGTCATCTTTCTCTTTAACCTGATTCTCCTCACTCTTCGGAAGTATTTTTATACACAAACACACACACACACACACACACACAATGTTCAGTCATTTCAGTCATGTCTGACTTTTTGTGACCCCGTTTGGGGTTTTCTTGGCAAAGACATTGGAGTGGTTTACCATTTCCTTCTCCAGCTCATTTTACAGATAAGAAAACTGAGGCAACATTAGGTGACTTGCACAGGGTCACACAGCTACTAAGTGTCTGAGGCCAGATTTGAACTCAGGAAATTGAGTCCTTCTGACTCTAGGACTGGCTGTCTATCCAATGTGCCATCCAGCTGATCCCTCCCACACACACACTGCAAAAAGTCATGTTATCTATTCTGTGACTAACGATATTTGTACTGTATGAAATTATTTTGTAGAAAGCAATTGTTTTTACTTTAAATTTTTCCCATTGAGTAAATTGAAAAACAAAACAAAAAAATAAAGTATTTAATACACAGATGTATATTACCACAAAATAAATTCCCACAGTGGACATGTGCGGAAACATGTCTCTTTCTGCATTTTAAATTTGTCACCTCTTTGACAGGAGGTGATGTCGATGTCATCTCATTCATTTGAATTCATGGTTTATCACTGCACTGATCAGTGTTCAAGTCTAAGTTCTTTTTCTCTATAATGCTGTTCTCATTGTATAAAGTGATCTCCTACTTCTGCTCACTTAACTCTGATCAGTTCAGAGATCTTCACTGTTCCCTCTTAAATTTCACGTTGTCATTTCTTATGGCACAATAATATTCCATTACATTGACATGCCTAAGTTTTTTCAGCCATTCTCAATAGAGGACACCATCTTGGTCTTCAACTTTTGGCTACAGTGAAAATAGCTGCTGTAAGTATTTTGTACACAGAAATCTTTTTCCTCTTTGTTTGATTTCTTTGTAGTATTGGCCTAAGAAGCAATATAAGCTGGGTATGCTAAACTGCTTTACAAAATTACTGTTTAAGACTTGTGCCCATTCAATGTTTCATCATTTTTGTCTTTTGTCTTCTTTGCCAGTCTGATGGTAGAACATCAAAACTCCTTGAATTTGCATTTCTCTATTACTTACTTAGAGCATTTTTGCATAAGGTTGTTGATAGTTTGGATTTCTTTCTTTGAAAACTGCCTGTTCAAAGCCTTTGATTATTTTATCTATTTGGGAATGGCTTATGAATTTGAATCAGTACCTCACACATCCTGAATAGATGATCTAGAGATATGAAACTTGCTGTAAAGATTTTTTTCTTCAATTACCTCTTTCCCTTCTAATTTTAACTACATTAAATTTATTTGTGCAAAAGCTTTTAAACTGTTTATAATAATCAAAGTGTCCATTTTATTTTATGTGATTCTTTCTGTCACTTGTTTAGTCATGAACCACAGATGTGAAATTTGCTAATGTTACAATATTAAATTAATGGGAAAAGGTGAACAGTTCAACTCAATTCAGGAAATTCTATGATTGTCTTAGGTGTGGAGGGCTGGGGAAGACAAAAGTGAAACCCTCCCTATCCTTGTGGAATTTATATTCTTTCATGTTTTTATACTTAAACAGAGATCTCCAACATCAAATTTATTAGAATCTCATATAATTTTTAACATATGCATGGAGTCGTGTTTTTTTAAGGAAAATCTTCAAAGGCTGCATTTTGCTATACTGAATCAAATGCTTTTTTAAACAGTCATTAAGATTTATATAGCATTTTAAGTTTTGCAAAGCACTTTATATAGATTATCTCAACTTTGTAAGGTAGGTGGTATTACTACCCTATTTTACAGATGAGGAAACTGAAGCTTAGAAAAGTGACTACCCAGAATCACATAGCTAATAAAGTGTCAGAGGCAAGATTCAAACTGGTCTTAACTGACTTCAAAGTCAAATGCTCTATTCATTACAATGAACTGTCTCAACAATTAATAGACCAACAACTCTCAAACTTTTTTTTAATCTCAGGAATTCTTTATATTCAATTCATTTAAAAATAATAACTAAAAAAAACCATTACTAGCAAACATAAAATAACTTTTTATTAATATATTTTCAAAACACATAACTATATATACTTTAAAAAATAGTGAGAACAGAGGCATTGTTTTACATATTTCTGCCAATCTCTGCATTCAATCTGTTGTAATGACAATCTGTTGTTGTTTTGGTTGAAAATGCAGCCTGACACAGATATAGAGTTGGAAAAGAAGTGAATATTTTAATAGACAGATAACATCTTAGAATTACTATGAAGTTTGTTTTGACATCTTTAACCCTCTTGAAAGGCTCCTTAGGTGCTCCTAGGGGTATATGTACATGCTTTAAGAACCAGTGCAACAGCTAATAGACATAGTGGAATCATATCTTTTCCCACTAATTCAGTTAGATGCCCAGAATGATGTGGTTTGCTATAGAAAATCACCTACCAAATCCTACCTGTTCCCTTCTCATGTTTTCATCAAGTATATTCATAAAGTAGGCCTATACAATTCTCAAAGATTTTAGAGATGAGAATGCAAGAATATGGGGTCAGCAACTGCTGATATCACCTTTTTTCTCCCAGTGACAACTTCATCTGTCAACTTTTCCATTCTCTTGAAATCCTCCACTTAAAAATGCCTTGAAAATCAATCTCTAAAGGCTTTTTAATTTGTGTCTCCTTCAGCATAGACTGTCAGGTTAAACTATTATTCTTGATTACATCCTTTTAAGTGTTGCTTCCACTACTTTACACAAAGTATCAGGAAATTATTTCAGTGTTGAATATCATGAAAGCTAAGATTGACTATCATCATTTTAAGTCCAGATTAGAAAATGAAAAACTTCATCCAATACAAGAAAGCTTAAAGTGTTTAAAAAAAAAAAAAACAAAAATAAAAAAAATAAAAAAATAAAAAAAACCCAGAAATTCAAAAAACAGGGTCAGCTATCTATTTTCTAAATGTAAGAGCATGGCAAACAAATGCAATACTGCTTTTGAGTATTTATTTATATGCAAAATATATGTGAGATGAGGGTGTTAAGACTATGAACATGGAAACTTCTCATGAAACATGGAAAAGCAATTAGGAAGAAAATAAGCCTGAAAAGAGCTAAAGAATACTGCTAAGCCAGCTCATCCTGAGGTCATTTGCAAATGAAAACGTAAGCAAAATAAACAGACGTGAAATGGAAAAAGACCTACTGGCTCTTTTATACTAATTTATTTTCATCAGAGAATTAGAACTAATGTCTTTGTCCAATGTGCTATAAGAAGAAAAGTCTATGGCATTCAAGAAGGTGAAGCACACCTATCAATCAATCAATCAATCAATCAATCATTTTAATATGTATGGAATCTCCTTTGATGATTCTTTATAAAAACAAATGCTGATTGGGCCTGCTGGAATGAATTAAACTTCTTTCTAACCTTGGTATTTCATGAAAAACTTACCCTCCTATTGAGTCTGGTAAATACATTAACTGGTTTTCATCTATTTTAAGTGTTGTTAATTTCTTTAATGAGCCTGTTGAAAAAAGACAGAGAATACTATATAAAATAAAGTTAAATGTGCTTTCTTTGCATAAAAACAACTTCCAGAAATGAATAATTATTTTATATTGGATTTCTATTAATTTGGTCAAAACAGGCAGCTAGAACTAAAAATATTCTTCTACTAGCATTAAATTCTAACATTCAACACTAAAATAAAAATATCTGTGGTACATCTCTATAGAAAATAGAGCAATTCATAGACAACATGGGTGAAAAAAGTTATCAACATTTTATTTACCAATAAGTGATAAGAATTAGGCAGTAAATGGGAAATAATAAAGTTTTCCATCTGTGAATGAATGAAATCTACTTCATGGACAGAATGGAAAAGGTCAGCTGTTGAGAACAGTAAATAATGACATCTCCAAAGAAAGTTAAAATTGATACTCTCAAACTCTCACTTTGAACTCCATGTATAATAAGAATGAAAATTTTAAAAATGGATTTTTAGTGAAAAGATAAGTATGTTTATTAGACTGGATTAGGAGAAAATTCTCAATAAAACTATACTTGTACACTATCAGGAAAGAGGAAAAGACTTAAATTATGAAATTCAAAATGAGAAATTCCTAAATTCTTTTTGCTTTTGTAAAAGAAAGATGAAATTGATGATGCTTTAGATTTTGACCATTTCACTGACATAATTCAGTCCAAGAAATTAAATTTAATTCAATTATAAGAATAACTATTGTGACCAAGATAAATTCTCCATCTGCCGTATTTATAAGTTACTACATTGGGTTATGTTCTCTTACCATAATTCTTTGCTAAGTTGAGGGTTTAAAAATGAGCTATGAAATAAAAGGGAATTAAACTTCATACCAAAGTCCTTAGAAATTACTCTCTATAGCAGAAAACTATATTTACTATAACTTGGATACAAAAACAATTTACTTATATTACATACTTTGCTTTGATTAGAGTAAAAACATTTTATTTCAAGAAAGCGTAGAGAAGATAGGTTTCACTGAAAGAGGCATTAGAATCAAGGAGCACAATTTAATTTGGTACACCATGTTTTAAATTTTGGAATGTAATAGCAATGGAAATTTGTACTAACATAATTCAAAACAAGGTAACAAAAAGATGAAAGATAATAAAATCAGATTCTATCTTAAATACATCTTGTATTTAGATTTTTATATGGATATATTTTATATTCTAAGAATCAACAACACTTTTAAATAATTCAATGATGCTCTTAAGATCATTTTGAAGAAGAACTAGTAATTTTGCCAGACTTCATCAGAATTCACTACCCTCCATTTCTATTCTGGGGACGAAGAGACAGTTCTCTGAAGAGAGATGGCAAAGCATTAAGTACTAAAAAGATCAATGGAGATAATGCGTGTAAAGTGCTTTGGAAAATTTAAAGTGTTGTATGAATACTAATAATTACTATTTTTATTAATAACACTCTTCTCTTAGATTGTGATTTCTGCCCTGGTTTGCCTAGTAAACTCCTTTCCTTGGGAATGGGAAAGGCCACTATGTGATCTAGTTCTCAGTTATTTTCATGGTAACCACACAAAGACAGCAAGGAAACGGCCTAAATCCTGCTCCCCCCCCAACCTCCCAGTTCCTGAAGGAATGATATCACCACAGAAAGTAAAACTACCATGGAAAGTAAAGGAAACCAGTGATGGTAATGTCAATAAAGGAGTTAAATAATGAATGGAAGTGAAAATATCACCAAAAAAAAAAAAAAAAAAGCAAAATTTCCTGCTGTGGAATATAAATAATTCACCTTAAAAAACAATGAGATTTTAGATTTAGTACAGGTATGGCAGCTAAATGTATATGTTTTTTAGTAAAAGATGAATGTATTAATTAGTAGGCAATACAAACCAATAGACTCTGGCAGTTGTTGAAGTGAATTGCTAGACAGTAGCAGGTCTTCAAGGCTTTCACATCCTGAAATTCCTTCTTCAACCATTTCAATGTTGTTCTTTGAAACATCCAAGTAAGTTAACTGCTTCAAACTACCAATCAACTATGAGTGAAAAAGAATTGATTAATCTGAAATAACTTGATCCACAAAAAAAGCAGTAAGAAAAGTTCAGGTGTCAAAATGAACACTAACTTAAGAACCAAAATTAAGTTTAAAAGAGAAATTTAAATAATTTCTAAACATACAACTGTTACAGTTTAGGGATGATGGGAACCCCAAAATTCAAGGTCAGAAGATGCGGGTCCTGCCTCAAATGAATTTGACTCAACCATTCTTTCAGTCAGAGACAAGGCTTATTAAAACAGTGATTGAAGTGGGCAAGATTTTAAGAATCCACACTATTGACCAGATTTTAAGAATCTGAGCTTTTGTAATGAGAATACAAACAGGCCTGACTCTTAAGGAATCTGAGCACCTTAATGGAGATAAGACGGACCTTTCATAAAGTAAGACTGTAGGAAAAACTGGATGGGAGTGGACAGTGGACTGGGGTGACTGGGAGATAACAGAGAGGGGGTCTACATGGAATCAAGGAGTGGCTACTAAGAAATGGCAGTTGAAAGGATTAACTGGGAAGGACAAACGCCAGGAACCGAAGTCAGGTGTCCACCTAAGGCCAGGGCCTTTTAGGGGTCCATCATTAGTGCCCCATCACGACCATAGGAGGAATATTAACATTATTTTTAAAGCAGCCAAAATAATATATAAAGAAGGATAAAAAATAGGACTATATGTCAAATTGTGAATCTATTATATCAACTTGTATTTAAATACAAACACACATAATCCTCTTATCTGGCTCCTTTTCATCTTCCTATTCTTTTCTGTGTATTTTTTAATGTTTCATTGATAGTGTTATTTCTTTGTTTTTCCCGCATCACAATCCCACAATCTTCCCCCACAAATTTGCCCCTTCCTTCCTACTCCTCCAAAAAAGTCCTTCCTTGTGAAAAATAAGTACCGATTAAGAACAGTAAGGAAGACTCAGAATTTTCGGCCAATGTTATGCAGGCAAATGTTTGTCCAGAAATTAGGCTAAGGGCATCTGTTAGTGTCAGTCCATTTGTGGACAAAGAATGTACTGTTTTGAACTTTTTGCAAAAATTAGGCTTTGGGCAGGCAGGCTGCTGCATACTTGGGGAAAAGATGTATGTGGTCTTTTGGGCTCTGTGAACTTATTAGCCTGTCAACTGAGAAGCAGCACAACGAGAAAAGTGAAAACCTAACCAGTCCAGGACAAATGCCCTTAGGACTAGGTTTGAGTCATCTTGAGTGCATCCTTTTGGCAGTCCGGACAACAGTGAGACTCAGACATACTTATAGTACCCATCTTATTCCCTGGAAAATGGATATGGTGAAAGGGGACATGGCACGTCTAGTGCACTCTGTCTAGGCTGGCTTAAATATTTGGAAGCCAGAAATACTATTTGAAACATCCCACCAACGAGAAAATTAGGAAAAATTATGCAAGTGTTATTAATTACACATTCAAATCAGTATGGTTTATCTGGAAAGAAGTGACTAGAAGAAAAAACATCTGAATTCTAGTTACAATTTGGCAAAATCATAGTCATTTAAAGCAAGTCATTTTAATTTTCTGGGTTTCAATTAAAACTCATTTGTAAAACAAAAAGGTTGTACTAGAGGATGCCAGAGATCTCTTCCAGCTCTAAGATTCTATGACATAATTATTAATATTAATTCTTAAACTATATATACACTATGTGAATTATAAAATCAATAGGACTTACAGTTGTTACTACAGAAAAAGACCAGCACTAAAAACTACCACGTCATGTATAAGGCTTATTTTATTATTACTCTACAAAGTAAAATTATTTTCTAACAGATAAAGTAACTGACAATTAACTAAAAATTTCCAATTATGTGAAGGAAAAATTCCCAGTGTACTAGAAACATTTTCTAAGAAGAATTTATAGTAATGCATGAACAAGAACCACACAGGAAAAGAAAGTCTGGAGGAACTGTGATCTGTGTTGTCAGAGGGAATATCTCCATCAGGGAAATCAAGGATCATTTAAAGTATAATGATAATAACCACAAAAGAGTAGAGGACGAACATTTATAGAAACAAGTAGAGAAAGATAAAACAAAAAAATAAGAAAAAATAAAAAGATTGAATAGATTAGGACAAGTATAAAATATTAAACTTATCTTACTTTACTATTTTATAACTTGCTCTTTTATGTCTTTAAAATTTTTATTCATTCATTTATTTATTTTAAAAATTTGAGTTCCAAATTTTCTCTCTGTCACTACACCCCCATCCATTGAGAAGGCAAGCAATATACCAATTATACATGTAAAGTCATACAAAACATATTTCCATATTGACCATGTTGCAAAAAACAAACCATACTTCCCCCCCACTTCCACATAAGGGTGAAAAATAATGAATGAAAAAAGTATGCTTCAATCTACACTGAGTTCATCAGTTCTCTCTATGGGTGGACAGATTTTTCATCATGGGTCCTCTAGAATTGTCGTGGATCTTTGTCCAAGGTTACATCTTTCTCAGTTGATTATCATTACAATATTACTATTACTGTGCACAATGTTCTTCCGGTTCTGCTTACTTCACTATGCATCAGTTTATATAAATCTTTTAAGGTTTTATCTGAAAATGCCCTGCTCTTCATTTCTAACAGCACAATATTATCCCATCACAATCATATACAACAACTTGTTCAGCCATTCCCCAACTGATATGCATCCTTTAATTTAGCAAGTTTTATATTCAAATAATTTATTAAAGACAAATGCAGGGACATGTACCTGGAAAGGTAAGCTAATGACAAAAAGGGGAACAAGTTGATCAGTGTTCAACAATGAAATGAGCTACATAAAGAAAATCACTGTCCTGGGTTATATACATGGGAAGTATATCTCCTAACATGGGTATAATTTGCTTTAGATATACAGTCCATATAATTGGTAAAAATAACTAGTACAAAACAGGACAGTTATAACTTCAGATACATACCCCTGGAATAAAAGTCAGTCTATTACCATCCATCCAAAATTCTTTTAACCCATTCAGTTGTTCAAGTACTTCAGGCTGTTTGGAAAGAAAAGGAGATAATAACAATATAGTCAAATAAACATGAGAAATATTTGAAAAACTTTGTTTAGAACATTTCAGGGGCAATGTGGCACAGCGGATAGAGAATCAGCATTGTAGCCAGTAATACTGGTCCTTCATTGGAGAAATGGATGGTAGGGCATTCCAAGAGGGAATAATGTACAATTTGGGTACAGGGTGCAAGCATATGTCATGTTCAGTTTGGCTCTATATAAGGGGAAATGGTTGATAAGGCTACAGTGGGTAGATTGGAATCAGATTGTAGACCATGCTGATGGTTAAGCTAAGGAGTTTGAATTTGAGTATCTATCCCAGAGGAATCGAACATGCCCATGACACACCCAAGCAGGAACTAGAATAAAATATAATTTGTCAATATTTAATGAAATAAACAAAAATACAAGAAAACACAGATACTCTTAATGTGTGCTTTCTGAAGTCAGTTAGTGGCCCCCTTTTCTGAGTTTGACTCTGCTGCTCTAGGGAGTTAAGAGCCATTAAACTAAGTTTTTGAGCTAATGCATGATGAGAACAGAGCTACCCTTTAGGAAATTATTCTGACAACATTAGCAAGGAAAGGTTGGAGGGGGCAGAGACTAGAGGAAGGAATATCAGTTAGAAGATTACTGCCAGAGTCAAGTAAGAGGAAATGAGAGCTCAAATTAGAGTAGTAGGAATGAAATAAAATAGCATGGGGTACCAGAAAGAACACTGGATCAGCAATCAGGGAATCCGAGTTCAAACACTAACCCTACTACTTACCAGTAAGACCATGGGAAAATCATTTTATCCCTGTTGGCCTTGATTTCCACATCTGTGAAACGAATGTGTTAGACTAGGATCATGTCTCTAACCTTGTGATCTTATGAAGAATTATTGGATATGAAAGCCACTCCTGAATTAGAACTGAAAGGATTTGGCAAATGACTGGATGTAAGAATCAAGGGAGGGGCAGCAAGGGATTCTTAGATTTTGAGCCTCAGTGATTTGAAGGATGGTGATACCACTGACAAAATTAGAGAAGTCAGGATAATCAGCTGATTCAAGGGTAAAAATGATGAAATCAATTTTGCACATACTGAGTTGCAAAATAGACATATTTCTAGATCATAAGATCACAGATTTAGAACTTGAAGGCACAGGCCCTCTAGCCCAACTTATCATTTTACAGATGAGGTAACAGAGGTGCTGAGGTTCAGTGGCTTGCCCAACATCAGAAATGTAGTAAGTAAATGGAGTATAATTACAAATCTTAAATCTTAGACCAGCCAGATTCTGAATCCAGGTCCTCTGCTTCCAAATCTAGCCTGCTTTCCACTGCAATATGGTAGGGAAATGGACTTATATTTGACAATGATTTTGATGCCTCTGGTTTAGTGTGGGAATATTGCATATGTTGTTCTAATGCCTAAGGCAGATCTGGTACATCAGAAAGAAGCTGTGACAGATTGGAGAATCATATATAGAAGGTGGACAATAGACCTTTGGAGAAAACCTATGGTCAGGAGGTGGATTCTACAAAACTGATTTATACTCACTCATTTTGCTTAAGGTAACATTAAGTTTAATGTAATTGCTGGAGAATTTATTAAATAATGGCCCGAGTTTTTGGCTCAGAGGGCCTGCTATATGGCAGAGAAACCAGTCTAGGATTTTAAATTTGCAATAGATATTCTCACTGAGTACGTATTCAAGTGTTATTTTTTTTCAACAAAAATGTCAAATGCCTAAAATCAGATTGTGCACCACACTTAAGAATTTTCTTTTTTTAATTATTGCTACTTGTTCTTGAAGATTTCTTTTTCTAAATAATGTTAAGTTGATTTTCGTGGCACCCAGTGTCCAATTTTTTCTGTCATCCTCTGGCCAAATACTGCAACACACTCTGTTAAACTGAAAGTCTCAACTCAGAGCTGCACTCCTTATTGACCCATTCCTTATCTATCTTCTCAGATGCCTATGGAATACATACTTTCTTATCATTGAATGAAATTAAAAGAATAGAGAGAGCAAAGCGGGAATAATTTTGGTTTGTAAGTGTGCTGTCTCAACACACTGAATTAGACATAAATTTGAATGCTTTAACTTTCACAATCTTTTCCCAAATCTTCCTTCTTTTAATTTCTAAATAATAAAGTTCAATTCCTGGTCATCTTCAAAATGAAATTTCCTTTTTTATTTTAATATTTAGATCCTAGAACCTTGTTCATAGTTTTCCATTTTCCCTATAAGATATTTTATCTTTGGTCCTTTGACAAACTTATGAATACATTTATCTAAATTTGCAAGTCCTATTAAGGCTAAAAGCTTTATAATAGGGAAAAGGGGGAACAAAGAAAACAATGTAAATATTTTAAAGACATCTTGAAAAACTTTACAAACAACATTTATTTTGGCAAGTATTTGCTTATAGGGTGATTTTAATATCTTATTTTTTATTATAAATACATTTCAGGTACTACTTAGTTTAACTTACCACTTCTGTGAATTCATTACTTCCCAAATCCAATCTTTCCAGCTGAGTAAGTCTATTCATGGTTCTGTGTGACCAGATTGAAAAGGAATTATTATAAAAATAATAACATTTAAATGTTCAGCATTCTAGTGGATTATTAAAGTCAACAGCATTCTGTAATGATCATGGATACTTTCAGAGCCAGAGAATCTGGGTTCAAGACTATTTCTAACACTTAATGGGTAAATCACTTCACTTGTCAATTCCCCAGGCCATTCATCAAGACTAAAAGAAATAGGATCTTAATATTTAGTTTATATAAAGATACGTTGGTTCAAAGTCTTTCAAAAATTAAGTTAAAATAAATTTAGTACTATTGTCTCCAATTTTGGTCTTTTTGAATTTCTCTCAAATGAAATCAAGTAATAATAAGAAAAACCAGCCACAGCCATTATACTTAAATAAATTTAAAGTGAAATTTTAAAGAGAACGAGTGTTTTAATTTCATAGTTCAGCCAATAGATGTTCAAAAGTTTGAGGTAAATACTAGTCCTTTTCAAGGTTGCTAATATGTTGTTAATCATCTTTTATATATGTACATTCCTCTGAAAATCCATAATCTCAAGAAAAAGAAGTGATTGTCTCCCTTAATATTATAGGCAGTGTGGTACAATGCATAGGATGTGTTGACAAAGGATTTAGAACTGAATCCTATCTCTTTCACTCACTATACCTTTATACTGGGGTAAAATATTTCATCTTTCTAGCTTCAATTTCCTCATCTGCAAAAAACGAGGAAGTAGGTACCCTCTAAGGTTCTTCTAAGCTCTAAATCCATAATGCTCTGAAATTCTAAAGTATTATCCAATAATTTTTAAAAATCATTCAAAAGAAAACTTTTAAAAATCAAGGATGTTTAGTTGACAATAAGGTCTAACTAATTTAAAATTATAAAGAGCACATCTTTCTTTCCTCCAACTTAACACCCACATTTTCTCTGTAACTACCTGAATTTGAACAATGCAAAAATATCCAAATGGTTTCAAAATAGAATAATTCAATAGCTGTACTTTAATGTCTCCTTATTTCCACGGCATCTAGTTCATCTAAACTCACTTAAATAAGTTGCCTACTTATGCTATTGAGATACTATTCTATGTGAAAACTATATTATGTAACGTACTGACTATACTAAAAACCACTTGCCAACAGGCAGGGCTATTTTAAAAAAAACTTTTTTCCTCTATTTTCTAGAACGTATCAAACTGATAACTTTATAGACAATATAAATACTTGGCAGCAATACCACACTAACACAAATAACATAAAAATATCAATGAGACTTGATCCATTGAGTTGTCACGTAGACAAAGTTTATGAATTGGAATTCATAAACTAAACTAAAAGATTCAGTAAAAATTATTTTAGAATTTTGAGGGGTAAAGTATGAGAAAATAAACCATAACAAAATATGTTATAACCCTATAGATGCAAACGAACCTACTTTCCTCCCTAACCTTTTACTTTTATCCATACCATTTTATTTTATCCCTCTTTTCCAACTTAAATTTCCTCATCATTCTTGTACTTAATTCTTTTTTCTATTTTCTTTCTATAGAAAATGACATGACTAGAAGAATGTTGATGTTAGTAACTGAAACGGGGGAGTCAGAAACACCAACTTGACAGAGGGCAATTTGTAAACAAACATTTACAAATGGTAGCACCTACCATGTGCTAAGCTAAGTGTTGGGGATACAATGACATGCAAAATATTCCCTGCTCCCAAGGAACTCACATTCTAACGGGAAAGACAACACGTACATATATGTATATATAAGATACATACAAAGTAGATACAAGGTAACAAAGAAGAAAGGCATTAGCAAAAGACCTCATGAAGATAGTATATTATCTGAGTCTTGAAGAAAGCCAGGGATTATTGTGAGATTTTAAGATTTTCATAAACCCTAATGCATCTTATAAACATAAATTATCAAAAGGTGTCGACCAAATGGGAGAGACATGATTTCATGCGAACCTTTGCAAGGATGAAGGAGGGGGCACTAATACTGGTAGAACGAGCCAAAACAAGGAGGATATATTACTTCTCCTCTGCTATTTGGAGGTAGAAGAGAAATGAAGCAGTGAACCAGAAGTTCCTCAGCTCTACTCGTTGAAAAAGCCTTTTGCCCTCGGTGCCTCCAACTCAGTCATGCTCCTCGTTATCTTCTAATGTAGCAATATGGCTTCCAAGCTCAGCAGCTAACCCTCCTGTCTCCAAAGTCACCAGTCCTCTCTTAATTGCCAAATCTAACAGCCTTATCTTAATCCTCATCCTGTCTGATCTTCCTTTCAGCATTTATACTCTCCAGGGTTTAATTATTAGGGTTTAATTATTACCTGGATGAAGTTCCCAGAACTGTACATTGAACCCTTGTCTTTCTTCTGAACTCTAGTCCCACATTCTGAACTGTCTATGTCTCATCAGTATTTTTAAAAAATCAACATGTCAAATACAGAACTCAGCTTCCCTCAAACCTACCCCATTTCCAAAATTCTCTATTTCTTTTGCAGGCACTACCATGCTTCTAGTCACTCAACTCATAATTCTCACTCACCCCACATATCCTATCAGTTGTCAAATTTTATCTCCACAACATCTTTCATCTGTTCCTTTTTTGCTATTCACATAGCAACCACTCTAGTTTAAGCCCTCATCATCAATAACCTGGATTACTGCAATAATCTTTCCAATTGTTCTATTTGCCTCATCTCTATCCAGCCTAAGCTATCTTCCACCCAGCTATCAAAATGATTTTTCAATGGCACAGGTCTGATGCTGCCCCTTACTTCTCTACTACTTCAGAGACAACTAGGTAATGCAGTATATAAGGGTGCTAAGCCCGGAGGAAGATCTGAATTCAAATCTGGCCTCAGATTCTTAATCAACTATAACCCTAAGCAGGTCAATGAACCCTTATATACCTCAGTTTCCTCAACTGTAAAATGGTGAAAGTAAAAGCACATACCCTCACAGAGCTTTTGTTAGGATCAATAAGATTAAAAAAGTGCACAGCACAATGCCTGGCACATGGTAAATCCTTAATAAATGTTAGCTGACTATGATGGCCTCCATCCCAATTTCATGTTATACAAAATCTGGAGATCATTATTAATGACTTTGAAGTTTCAGTTACAATATCATTTCATTGTGCAAATTGACATCAATAAAATAATGAAATATTTATTGATCATGGAAGCAAAAGATAAAAATACAGTAAATCTGATAAAAATCAAAGGTGAGATAACAGATAACTGCAATAGTCAGAGCAACCAAAAATTCTTCTTATATGAAACTTACAATTTACTGCTCTGTAATACAATTATACATACAGTGGACCTTACCTCTGGACTACAGAGTAAACTCCTTTAGAGTAAGGGCTCTATGTCTTTAAATCCACGTGCAAAATAAGCACTAAAAATATGTGAAGAATGAATGAAAATTAAGTGCTATCCAGGTTAAAAAAGAGTAGGTACTGAGAAGCAGAAGTATAGATTGCAGACAATTGGGGATGCAAATACACTGAAGTGAAAGAAAATCTGGAATTAGAGAAGCAAAAAGCAATAATGTTAAAAGATAATATGATCTCCATATAAGCTAAACATATTGACCCTGAAGACAGGATGCATAGAGACAACTTAAGGATTACAAAACTCCCAGAAGAACATAACAAATCAAAAAACCTGAATACCATGATACAAGAAAAGAAAACTGCCCCAGACTTCTAAACACAATAAACAAAGTATCAACCAAAAGAATACACTGGTAATCTCCAGAAAAACATTCCTATGCTGCAAATTCCGAGATGGTTAAACTCCAAATTCCAGTGGTTAAATTTAATAATTCCAGTGAGGAGCAAAAAAATTCTGCAAGCAACCAGGAAAAAAAACTTCAAATACAAAAGAAAGAAAATTCATATAATACAAAACTTTTCTGTCCCCACCAGAAACCATATGTGGGAGTGGAATGTGCTCCAAGGAAGAAAGGAGCTCAAAATATAATCCAAGGTGACCTACCCTGCAATAACTATTAATGAAAAGAGATGGACATTCATCAGTAAGAGAGGTATTTGAAACATTTCTAGAAAGAAAATCAGACCTGAAGAAATTATTTGCTTTCCAAATACCTGAGAAAAAAGAAACATAAGAAAGATAAAATAAAAACAGCAACTTTCTTTTAAATGCACACCAGGAGACAAGGGCGAAAACAGTAAAATTGAAGGGACAGTAGAGAAACAGGCTTGAAACATTATGGATGCACTTCACAACAAAGTGCCTCACAAGTGAAATCAATAATTTTTGGTGGAATAAATTACGGCACAGGAGAGGTACATAAAAGGAGGGTCAGGAGTAAGATGATAGAGAGAAACTCTAATCAAGGGAAAACCTAATGATAAAGGGAAAATAATTTCTGTGGTCTCTCAGGACAAAGGGAAAGGTGTGAGGGAGCAAAGGAAGGAATAAAAAAGGGAGGAAGAAATGGGGTGAGATCTTGCTTCAGCGGTGAGAGTATGTACCACTGACAAATGCTCCCATGGGAGATATTCTAGAAAGTGAGATCAGGACTTTACAATGGCTATAATCTATAGGTATTTGATGCTTAAAGATACTGCTTATTCTACCTCAGGAAAGGAGGAATCAGAGCTCTGTGGTACATGTGTGTATGCACACCCTGAGTACACATGCATAAATGACATCCAGAAGAGTGGGAAGACATGTAAGCAAGGAGGAAATTGCAAGGCAAATGAAGTAAAATGACTATGGAGGGGAATAATGAACTGCACAATCAAGGGACACTGGACAATTCCTACCATGAGGAAACATCCTTTAAATCACCTAGAAGAATTGGCATTTCTAAAAAGGGGGCCTGGAGACAAGATCTACAAGGTAAAAACAGAGAAACAGTTAAGAAGAAGGAACTCAAAATAGGCACCTTAGAAGTTTTAATTACATGATGCATACTAAGACGAAAGGCCTAAATAAATATAAACGTCAGGAATCAAAAACCAAAAGTTTAGATTTAATAGAAAGAGAAGAGAAATAATGAAGAGAATGAGGGAAAGAAATGCTTTTTAGAAAAAGAAGCAGAAAATTAAAGTTTAAAAGCTAATAAAACAAGTTGAAGGGGAGGAGAGGAAATGAAGATTTTACTTGACTACTCAATTGAGAGGGGAAAAAAAGAGGAAAAATTAAATAACTACATGAAATCAAGAAAGAAAAAGGAACTAGAAAGCAAAACTGAAAAACTACGGAAAGAAATAACAAATGGGAGAGGGTAGGAGACTTGAGAGTAAGGGGAAGAGAGATAGTGGACGTAGGGTTTCCTTATGAGAGCTTAAGCCAAAATAACTAAAGAGACACAGAAGTGTGTATACAGAGTTATGGGGATAAGAATATAAAGAATGAAATAATCCCAACTTACAATAACCTCCCATTTCAATATGGGTGATAAGATATATGTATCATATACACATATACATAGCATTTAAGTATAAGGTAATTTGGGAGGTGAGCAGTAGGAATTGGAGGGCAACAGGGAAGATTAGTTTCCTGTCACTTAGGAAGTGTTCAAGCAAAGGTCTTCAAGGAGAGGATGGATGGTCAATTAATGGTACCACTGGAGTGAGGAGTGATTCTTTGGTTAAGGTCTAGATTATATGACTTTTGATGTATTCTGTAATTCAATGATCTGATTATATCTGTACAGCAGTGCCATTCCTCCCTTTTAATTTTTTGCTTCTGACCTGTTGTAGGCCTGGAAATCAAATAGTTAACTTCTTTGAAAAACTGTATAAATAAAAGAGTGACTACTAAGTGAAATTGATTGGAAAAAGGTATATAAGATTCGAGGCATGGAATTTGTGACCCTAAGTTGCTTGGAAATCTTTTTTGCTTCCTTCCTGGTTCACGTCTGTTATGGATGGATCAGGTTTCTGGTAGCTGACGTACAAATAATATTATATACATAATGTAATATGTGCTATTCATACTGAAGCATGAATGTTTAAATTATAACATCACTAGTAACCACAAAAAATAAATTAACTAATATTCTCTGAAATACATATTGTTTATTTAAATAATTTGTATTTCTGCTTAGATAAAAAGCCACAATCTTATAATATGACTAAATATAACCACAAACTTAATCTAAAAATTTTTAAGGGAATCATACATTAAGTATCAAATTACCAAAGGATTACTTTACAGAAGTAGAAAAAAACAATAACTAAATTTATCTAGAGGAAAAGGACAAAACTCTTACGAGAAATAATGAAAAAAAAAAGTGGGAAGGAAAGGAACCTAGCAGAACCAGATGGCAAATATACTACAAACAGCAAGAAGCAAAACAATTTGGTACTGGTTAAAAAACAGGAGAGTTCAATCAACCAAACAGATTTAAGTACACAACTACAGAAACAAACAAATCTAATAGACTAGTGTTTGACAACCTTAAAGAACCCAGCTACTAGGACAAAAATATAGTATTTGACAAAAACTGCTAGAAAAACCAGACCACATTTGGAAAGAAATTAGATTTAGAATAATGCCTCACACCATATAGAAAGATAATCTCCAAATTGATACATGATCTAGACATAAGAAGTCACACTATAAAAAAATTATAGGAACAGAGATGAATTTACCTTTTAGATGTATGGATAGGAGAACAATTCATGACCAAATAAATAATAGAGCAGATAACAGAATATAAAATGGACGATTTTGATTACATAAAATTTAAAAGTTTTTGCATAAACAGATCCAATACAATTAAGAGAATAAGTAAAAGTGAAAAAAATTTGCAGCAAATTTCTCTGAAAAATGTCTCATTTCAAAGATATAAGGAACTAGGGGCAGCTAGGTGGTGCAGTGGATAGAGGACTGTCTCTGGAGTCAAGAGTACCTGAGTTCAAATCCAGCCTCAGACATATAACACTCACTAGCTGTGTGACCCTGAGCATGTTACTTAACCCCAACTGCCTCAGCAAAAACAAGAACAAACATATAAGGAACTGATTCAAATTTATGAAAATAAAAATCATTTGCCAATTGATAAATGATCACAGAATATGAAGTTCTTAAGGAAATATATTATCAAAGCTATCTATAGCTGTTAGTAAAAATGTTTCAAATCACTAATAATAAAAGAAATACATATTAAACAACTCTGAGGTTCTACTTAAACTCATAAGATTAACAAAGTTGACAAAAATGGAAAGTGAAAATTGTTGGGAGAGGCACTCCTGGTAGAGATGCAGACTGATACAGCCATTCTGAAAAGCAATTTGAAACTATGCTCCCAACGTTACTAATATACGCATACTCTTTGACCCAGAAATACAATTACTATGCTTATCAAACATCAAAGAAAGAGGGAAAAATTCAACAAACTCTTGTACAAAAATTGCGTACAAAAATTTTAATAGCTGTTCTTTTTATAAAAGCAAATAAGTGGAAATTAAGGGGATGCATATTGATTAGGGAATTACAATATAAACTGTAAGAATGTGATGGAATACTAATGTGCTGGAAGAAATGGAGAAACTTTCAGAGGGACCTGCAAAGATTTGTATAAACTGATACATTATGAAGTGAATAGAAGTAGGGAAAAAATTTATACTGTAATATAAAAAAGAACAATTATGAAAGATTTAAGAACTCTGACCAATGAAAATTAATCATGATTCCAAAGAAATCAAAGATGAAGCTCAATATTCAGAATGTGACAGATTTTGAGTTATGGCCAGTAAGAATTGTTTTGCTTGACAATGTTTGTTACAAATGTTCTCTTTTACTTTGCTTTGCCCATACCATAACAGGGGATGGGAGTAATGGGAACAAAAAAAAAAAAAAAAAGTTTTATAACTGAAAAAAAAAAGGTAATTAAAAAAAGAAATCACATAAACTTAATGGTATATCTTTACTTACTTGGGCAACATTTTTAACTGGTTTTCTCTAAGTTCCAAAATCTGAAGTTTTGTTAACCTGTTAAATTAAGAAAAGAGAGATTAAAACCAAAATCTGATTACTTTTTATAGAACAATGGCCAACAAAGTGACTAAATTAAGACTGTACTATAATATGAATATAAATAATGCATTTATTATGTGTTCACTAAGTGCCATATACTTACTAAGTAAAAAATTTTTATTGTGTAACTACAGTGAGACAGATATATATATAAAATACATTGACAAGGAACAAAAAGATAATAGAAACTTATAAAAGCTTGAGGAGCAAAAATATACTTAATATACTTAAGAATACTTTCAAGGCTATCTTTTTGAGGGCCTCCTTTTCTCACTGTTTGTTCATGTTTAACTTTTTTGTTTTTCTTTCACTCCTTTGTTTGAATTTCAAAGTTTGTACACAGTTCTGGTCTTTTCATCAGGAATGCTAGGAAGTCTTCTATCTCATTAAACATCCATTTTTCTTCCTATAGCATTATACCCAATTTTGATAGGTAAGTTATTTTTGGCCATTAAGTTCTCTACTCCTTTAAAGTGGTGGCTGCTAAATTGTGTATGATCTTGACTGTGTCTCCTTGGTACTTAAATTTCTTTTTCTGACTGTTTGCAGTATTTTTTCTGAACAGGATGCTCTGGCTTTTAACTACGGTGTTCCTGGGACTTTTCATTTGAAAATTTCTTTCAGGAGGTGACTGTTGGATTCTATTTCCACATTCCCACTGGTTCTAAAAGATTTCTTGAAATATGATGCATAGGCTCTTTTTTTTTTTGTTCATGACAATCAGATAGTCCACTGATTTTTTATTTCTTCGATCTGTTTTCCAGGTCAGTTGTTTCCACTATGAAATCTTCTATTTTCAGCCTTTTTGCTTTGTTTTAATGTTTTTGGTTGCTTCATGGATTGATGATTTGGGTTTAGAGATAAGTCTCCTCTTTGGAAATGAAACCACTGAACCAGAGATATCCTTTGAAATACCTTTTAACTCAGGATCTAAGAATTCCACTCTAATCAGTTGTAAGTAACAATCTCAAACCAAAAGAACTGATAAGAAAACATTGCTTCTTCCTTTTAGAGGAGGGGTAAGAGCCTATGTAAGTAGAATATGGTATAAATTGTCAGATCGAGTCTCCATGTGGGTTAGTTTGTCTTTAAAAAGATGTTAGCTATTACAAAGTAATTTATAAATATAAGGAAGGGTTAAAGGAAAGTGACTAGTATAAAAACAAAAGGTAACTATAACACTTAAAAATATGCTGACTAGAAATAACTGATTAATAATACATAAGTCATTTCCAAATCAGCTGTCTTTGTACACTCAACTTACTAAACCAAAGTCAAAATCAATACCAAATTAGAATAATAAAAATGAGATAAATATAAAATATGTACAATTGAGGCAACTCCAAACTGAACTATTTAAACAAAATGGACTAAAAATAGGCAGAAAAAAAAGAACAGACATTGACACATGCTATCATAATTTGTTTAGGAAATTTAACTTATACAAGTCAATGGAAACAATGAGGACAATTAAAGAACCTAGAAAATGCCTTAGTCAGCAAACATTTTTATGTCACTGCCAAGTAGAGAAATATGAATTTAAACACCTTTGTAAAATGTTACAAAGAAGAATGATGTAAGATTATACATTGCAGTATCTTACAAAATAGCATGAAATAGTGAAGGGAATAAATAAGTTTACAGAAAGAAAGCTAGGCAGGACATCCAATTAAGCCAGCTCATGAATATTCAAAACCAGAAAATGAAAAACAAAAGAAAATCTGTCAAGATTTACATAACTATATTCTGATCAATGAGAGTGGAGTCAACACATTTGAAGGAAGAGGAAGCAGAAATTCATTCAAGCTTGTAGAGAGTAAGAGAAGTTCCAAAAGAATCAATACACAAAGAGTTCCATGATAAAAGGACAATTTTAGGTTGTTGAGAAATCAATTAACTAATAATCATTTATTAAGCATCTATTATGTGCCAATCAAGAAATCTGAAAGAGGGAAGAATATCAAATATTTGGGGGGAAAACACAGAACTTATTAATAGCAACAACAAAACAACTGAGAAAACATCCAATTTTTCCCTTCATATAGAGTTAAATATAATACCAGGCAAAGTGAAGAGAAAGATGACTGACAACGTGGAGGGTTGGGGACAAGTTTTCAGAGAAATATCATTTGAACTAAATTGTAAAGGAAGACACAAACTGAAAGGCAGAGAAGAGCTAAGAAGGCATTGAAGTCAATCAGTCAACACTCTAATGGAGGAGACAACATGTAAATAACTAGGTATGTGAAAGATATACAGGGTAGAGGGAAGATAATCTCAGAGAGGAAGGTACTAATTGGTGGACCGGGAAAAGCCTGAAGGTGAGATTTGAGGTGAGTCTTAAGGAAGCTAAAGAAACTACAAGTTGGCAGTGAGGCAGTAGAGCACTCCAGGAATGGAGGGGCAGCCAGTGCAAGGGAAGGAAAGAGGAAATGGAGGGTTCTGGAAGGCAGGAAGAGGCCAGGTAATGAAGAGCTTTAAATGCCAAAGATAGTTTATATTTGACTCTGAAGCTAACAGAGAGTCAACTCTGTTTTCAACTGTATTCAGTTACTGAATGGAAGGGAGTAACATAGTTAGACCCATGCTTTATAAAGAACAGGAGAGACCTGAGCCACAAAGACCAATTAGAAAGCGACAGAAAGTTTATTATCCAGGAGAAAAGTAATGAGGGCTTGAACTAAGAAGTGAGAGGCTTGGGGACGGGGAAGAGATATTGAGTTCTGTTTTAGTTATTTTGATTATAAAATGCCTACAGGCTATCCAACTAGAGATATACAAAAGGCAATTGTTAATGCAGGGTGGAACTAAGGAGAGAAATCAGAAGGCTAAATATAGATCAGCTAAGAGATGATAACTAAACCCAACGGAGCTAATGTATATAGCACAAAAACAGAAGAGGGCCCAACAAAGAGGCCTGACTGACACACACCTAGAGTTAGTGGGAGTGGCTTGAAAAACCAACAAAAGATACTCGGAAGGATATCTGCAAGAGTTGTGTCACAAGAACCTAAGCAAATTATCATCAGTGTCAAATGCTGAACAGAGGTCAGGAAGGGGGAAAACTAAGGAAAAGCCATGAGATAACAATAATTAAAAGTTGAATGGCAAATCAACTTTTTTATTGGAGACAATAGTTTCAGCTGAAAGATGAGGGCAGAAACCCAACTACAGGGCGTTTAATAGAGTAAGAAAAGGTAGAAATACAGGAAACCATCTTTCTCAAGGAGTTTAGGCAAGAGGGAGGAATGGCATGATCAAATAAGAGTTTCTTAAAGATAGGGTACATACATAAATGTTTGCAGGTATTTCGGAATAAGCCAGAGTTGGGGAGAAACTGAAGAGAAAAAAACAGGGAAAACAGTGGGGGCAATGTATGGAAAAAGAGAGGAGAGGTTTGAATCTATAGTGCATGTGGAGGGGTGGGCCTTTGCAAGGAGAATAGCCTGAGACCAGAAAGAAAGGAGAGATGGGGTGGGGTTATGTCTGACTGATGTAAGATGATAAAACAGAAGAGGGAGCCCTTAGCAAATAGCCTCAATTTTGTATGAGGTAAAGTTCTCAGTAAAAACTAAAAGGAATGGTGATGTTGGAACCCTGGGGACAGAAATTTGGTACAGTCCCTGTGGAAAGTGGAACAGTGATTCATTAAGGAGAAGTCAAATAAGTGCCTGGCTCTAGTGAGGGCCCAGCTATGATTAGATAACATAAATGTGTAGTGGAGTTAATGAACACGGTTTCATTTCTTCCAGGTCCATTTAGAATACAAATATGATAGGTTTCAAGGTGGAAGAAATCCAGGGTTAGATTTTGGCAGGGTGTGGTCAGTGATAAGACAAGAAAGCAAGGAATTCCAGAGTAGATGATACCATAGAACTGAATGGTTTGACCAAGGGTCCAGGTTAATGAAAAGATAAGGGTATGGCTAATGTTGGAATAAAGACCTAAAAAACAACTATTGGCTAGAAGGAAATGAAGTCATGTTGCTGAGGAAGAACAAGGCCAGTCATTATAGAAAGTATGCTAACCACCAAGGAATGAGTCCAGGCAGAATACCGGTGGTTGAAAAGAAATCTATTGATTGCAACATGTAATGTACAAGGATCTTCCTCAAGATCCTCATGGCAGGTGGTAATGCCTGAGGCCACCAGGAGGCCTGCCTCATAAAAGGTGAGAAAGGAAGGGGTTAGTCATGCAAGGTTAAGTGGATGGAAGCCAGCAATTAGGTCTTCTCTGAGGCAAGATCTCAGGGGCCAACCAATGAAGAAGACTCTAGGGCAGAGCCAACTGAAGCAGGGAACTTGCTTGGGGGATGGCTGCAAGGACCAGGTTCCACAGAAAGTCCAGAGAAAGAGCCTAACGAAACTAAGTAAGATCTAGTAGTCCTGTGCAAATACACAGAAGTAAGAGATGGTGAGTTAAGTTTAAGAAATATTAAGTTGTCTAGTTTGCCTAGCACATAGAAATAAGAATGGAGAGGTAGAAGTCAGCCTGAGAAATCCCTTAAAAGACTGAAGTATTTGCATTTTAATCTAAAAACAACATGGAGACATTGAAAGGTTTTGAGCAGAGAAGTGAAGGAACACTCAAACTTCTACATTAGGAAGAAAACATTTTCCACTAATGATCAATTTTTATTTTACATTCAATTACATATTTGCTGGAGGCCAGGTGAGGGGAGCTCTCATTGTTTCCATTTCTTGGTTGCTGGGGGTTTTGGTAGTTTCATTTTGTTGCAGAAGAAGGATAGGTAGAGTAAAAAGAAAGACATTCATGTTTCTGGTCACTTAAGCAATACAGTTTAGTAGAGACCCCTCGTTTCTAGTCCCAATTTGATTCCTGATTCAATATAGAAACCTCACTGCCTCTGTGGGCTTCAGTTTTCCTATCTGTGAAATAAGAACAAGAGGATAAAATGAGAATAAATGGCAAATTGTAATGATTAGAATGGAATAGGAACCAATGAGAATCACCAAAAATAGCTGTGTTAGGATGACTGTTGGGAAGGTGAAAAACAATGTGCAAAAAAATGATTACAAAAATACCATATCTGCTATCTGAAAAAACACTTTGTGGGGAGTCTGATAATACCCTTTGGTACAGATGTGAAATTAAATTTACCAGGTTTTTAAAAAAAAATTCTAAATATTACCACAATCAGAAAAGCAAGAGGACACAGTGGAAAGAGCACTGAAATTGGAGTAGGTGACCTCTTCAAATCCAGGTCCTGCTGCCTACCTAAAAGCTTTGTGGGCTTGGATAAGTCATTTCCATCCTATAGGCCTGTTTGTCCATCTGTGAAAGGATGATGTAGTTGGATCTTATAATCTATGAAGTCCCTTTTCGACTCTAAAATTACAGTCTTACTCTTCAGAGTATATAGTATAGCAGTATACATATTAAAAATAACCACTTTGCTGGTTTTTTTCCCCATTACAATTTACTTAGGAAAATGGACAAAAGAATAAGAGTGGGCAAACTAAGAAAAAAACTGTAAAAAATATAAATGGAAAAATGACATTAATTTTAATGAACCAAAAATTCTGAAAAGTTAATTAAAAGAACTAACAAAGGTACTTGTGTTATTATATGTACTTGAAAAAATTAAATGTACATATATAAATACAACTTACCTGCCAAAATTGGCTGGCAAGAACTCAAGGAAAGCATCATTCAGATACAGCTGAGTTAGGTTTAACAGTTGAGAAAATCCATCCGGAAGTCTGTATGAAAAACAATATCTTCGATTTAATTCATGTGCAGCATTTTAATGTGAACTTTTTTTGGTATTAAAGTCATCAAGATTTTTTTTAAGAACACATGATACTGGTATGCATCTCTTTAATTCTTCTGTCTGTGCTTCTTCAATTGAGATTCCTTTTTGTTGTGATTTAATAATAAAACATATACATTTAAACAACATTTGAAAGTTTATGACAAACTTTCTTGTTGATCTTAAAAATACTAAAAATTATACCAAGTAGCAATCTGTGTCAATTCAGGGTAAACTTAAGACAAAACCCACAAACAATCCCCAAACTTCTTACTTCTTTCAAGGGTCAATGACTTATTTCATTGGTACAGGTAATTCTTTCTACCAATACAGATAAGAATCATTCCATAATTTGACAGGTGGCTAAACAAAAATAATTACCCAGGTAGGGCAAATGCAGTTTAGATGAAAAGCAGTGTGGCATGGCAGATAAAGGGCCAGCCTTCCTGGAGTAAGAAAGACTTGCATTCAAAGTCCTCTAACTGATACATACTAGTTATATGTCACCTAGTAATTTTTTGTAACATTTCAGTGTCCCTTCAGCTATCAATTGAACAATATATATTTATTAAGCCCCTATTGTATACCAAGTGCTAGAGATACAAATGAAAAGAATGAAAGAATCCCTGTCTACAAGAAACTTATAATTTGGTGAAGGGGGAGGGGAGACAAATAGATACAAAACTTAGAGACAACAAATAAAAGGTGGTTAGAGAAGGAAGGCCTGAGCAACTGTGGGGATAGGGAATGGGTTCACATGCAGGAGGTATTACTTGAACTGTGTCCTCAAGAAAGAGAGATATTCAATAAGGTGGAGGTGAGAAGGGAGAACCTTCCAAACAAAGGGAACAGGAAATGAAGTTCTATGTGAGACGAACAGAGATAAGGCCAGTGTGGCTGGATCATAGAGTACAGAAAGGAGAACAGTGTACAATGAAATTGGAAAGATATAACAGGCTTAAGCCATATTGTGAAAGACATTAAAAGCCAAAAAGAATTCTTCTTTTAACCTAGAAACAATAGGAAGCCACTGGAGAGTGTTAAATAGGGTAATAATATGGTTAAAATCTGCTCTTAAGGAAAATAACTTAAGCAGAAGTACAGAAGAAATATGGAAGTGAAGAGACTTGAAGCAGGGAAACCAACATAGAAGCCATTGCAGTAATCTAGGCATGAGGTGATGAGGACCAGAACTAAGGTAGAGCTGTGTGAGTAGAATTGGGGGTGGGAGTGGGAAAAGAGGGAAGGAGGGAGGGAGGGAGAGAGGGAGGAAGAGAAAGGGAGAGCAAGCAAAATCTGAGAATGATTAGACATGCAGGGTGAGTGGAAGAGGAGACAAAAAGAAAGCTAAAGTTGAAAACCTTGAGGACTGGAAGGATGGTAGTGTCCTCAACAGAAATAGGAAACTTTAGAAGAGAGGTACATTTCAAGAGGAAAGAGTTTTGTATTGGACACATTAACCTTGAAATGTCTCTTGGACATCCACTTTGAAATTGCCAGTAGGTAGGTGGTGACTACTGAAGTTGAGGGGAGAAACTGGAGTTGGACATATAGATCTTTTAGTTGATCTTTACTTGATCTTCAGTTGTCTGGAGATAATAATTAAAGATGATAAAGTCACCAAGAGAGTGTGTGCAGGGACAGAAGAGGGTAATATCCATAGTCCGAGGGCATGATATAAATGATAAGCCAGTAAAGGATACTAAGTAGTTATATAGGGAGAAAGAAAATCAAGAGAGAGTAGTGGTGCCATGTAAACCCAGAAAAGAGAGAGTATCTAGGAGAAGGTAATCAATAGTGTTAAATGGGGCAAAGTAGTCAAAAAGAATGAGGACTGAGAAAAGACAACCAGATTTGGTAATTAAAAGATCACTGACAACCTTGGAGAAAATAATTTCAGCTGGGTAATGGGTAAGAGCCAAATAAGACAGAAGTAGAGGTAATGAGTACAGACAGTTTCAAAGAGGTTAGAAAAGAAAGTCTGAAAGACAGTGATAGCTTAAGGAGTTGAGAGAGTGTAAGGATAAAATTTGGGAATATCTGAAGGCAGTTGAGAAAGAATCAATAGACAGATGGTTGAAAATTAAGAGTGGAGGGAGGATGTGGGGAAAATGACTTCAGAGGAAATCAAGCGAAGAAGACAGGATGGTTTTAGATAAATCGCCCAGGTGTATGAGCAGAAGTTTATCAGAATTCCTCACCCTGAGGAATCACCACATGTTTGGATTGTCCCCTAATTCCTTCCCCAAAGTGTCGCCACTTTGTAATATGTCCCAAATACAAAGAAAAATTACTAAGAAACATACTCAATACACAATGATTAAAAAAAAAATCTAAGTAGATAGGAAAAATTAAAAAATTAACAGGTTTAGCAACTAATTTTAATGTAAAATTGGTTCTAGTAAAAAACTGTAATTGATAAAACATACTATAAAATTAATGTTTGTTATAATATTTAAAATTAAATTTAATTGGACTTAAGAGCACAAATTTTATTGGTTTTCAATAATTATTTTTGGTGCTATATAAAAACCAGAGGGGCAGGATAGTGCAGAGACTAGAGAGTCAGTATCAAGAGTCAGAAGTGAATGAAAATGAATGAAAAAGCAATCATTAAATACTATGTGCAAAGCACTGTGCTAAGCACTGGGAATATAAATTGAAAAACATGCCTCTAATATATTCAAGCTGTGACAGTGGGCAAATGGTTTAACCTTTTCAATATGCCCTATGGCAATGCTCTAAGAGAGAGCACTTTGCAAAAATAAATGAAGTACAAAGGCAGATGGAAGTTTCTTCTTTAGCCACTCCCCTATATCAACAAAATAACAAGTCTAGTCCAACAAATAAAAATGCTAGTGCTTGGAGCCTACAAGTTTACTAAGAAGACAAGGTAACAATCACATAATAGCTAAATAGTTAAAAAATAGTCTGTTAAAAGTTCTGCAGATGAATTCTGATAAAGATATATTGAATATTAAGTGATTTCATCAGTACAAATATTCAAAAACTGTTGTTAAAAGTAAAAGATAAAGTCCTATGTAAAAAATCCTAAGTTGTATCATAATTCTTATTTAAAATAGTACTATTTGAAATATGAATATTCATAACCAAACATACGATGTCCTATAGATATCTCAAACTCAAAAAAGAACTAATGATCTTTCCCCATAAACCTCTATCCTCTACTGACCTTCCCTATTTTTGCTGAAGGCACCACCAGACTTCCAGTCATTCAGGTTCGTAATCTTGCCATCACTCCTAACTCCTCATGTTTCTTCACCCCACAGAACGAATCAGTTATAAAAGCTCCTGATTTCTAGCTGTATGACTGCTACATCTATCCTTTCCTCTCTACTGACAAGGTCACAACTCTTAACTTTCAAGCCTTCAATTATCTCTAGCCCAAACAATTCAATGGCCTTTTCATTCAGCTCTATACCTCAAGTCTATACCCACTCAAAAGACCCTCCACATAGCTGCTAAAGTGATTTTCAAATGCTGGACTGCCCAGGCCATTCTCCTTCTCAAACTCCAAGGATTCCCTGTTGCCTTTAAGATCAAATCTGAATTATGGTTTGGCTTTTAAAGACCTTCACAACCTGGTCCCAATCTGCCTTTCCAGCTTTCCTACACTCATCGGTCAAGTTGGACTGGCCTTTTTTGCTATTATTCCTCACATGTTCTACCCTGTCTCCCATCATTGTGCCTTTGCTCAGTGGCTTTTCTCTATGCCTAGAATGCAGTCCCAACTAATCTCTGCCTTTCAAAGCCCTTGTTTCCTTCAAAACTAAGATCAAGTACCACTTCCATATGAAGCTCTGATCTCCTGCAGATGCTATTGCCACCCTTGTTATACCGACTATTTTTATGTACCTGTTGTCTACTCCTATAGAATGCAAGCTTCTTGAGGGCAGGGTCAATTTCACTTCTGTGTTTGTGTCCCCTCTGCCCTGGCACAGTATCTGGCACACAATAAGCATTTAATAAATGCTTGTTTGTGCACATACAAATATCCCTCTGTTTATACACATAGACAAACATTTCTAAACATAATACTTCTGACTATATAGTAAATGAACCAAAATAATTGCACAGCTACTATGGAGTTTTGATAAAATGTTTAAAATGGGGGTGGGGAGTTTTATATTCAATTTTGATCCTAATGGATAAGGATTTGATTATTAAAACTCAGAGTAAATGAGCTTTGTCTTGCTTTCACATTTTTACTGACACTTTCACCTACACATAATTAGTTGGTGACAAAAAAATCATTTTCCATTCTCTAACCCAGTAGGAGTAATAAAAGAACTTTTAAATGAAAACAATTCTGAAGACAAAAACCTATATGTTTATAAAGAAAGGGTAAAGTTCTATTATTCTTTTATATCATCTGGAGAGCTGAGGCAATCTATTCTCCTCATGAACTGGGCAACCAAAGGAGACTGTAAAAGAGGGAGAGGAAAAGGGACAGACCATAGGCCAGTGGATCAAGACCTTCACTATTTTAATTAAATGTAATTCCATTCCATCTAAACATTTAAAAAACAACTACACTATGTGAAGGGAACCATACTAGGCAAAAAACAACAAATACTACTACTACAACAACTACTACCACTAACATAATATTTTAAGGTCTGTAAAGGTCTTCACATTATTATATGTTTATATTAGTATTATCTCATTTGTTCCTCAAAACAAACCTGTAAATAGTTGTTATTGTTATCTCCATTTACAAGAGGAAACTGAAGGTGGAAGAGTGTAAGTGAATTGACCAGTGTCACAGTCTTTTCTGAGGCAGCATTTGAACTTCATTCTTCTTGACTTCCTAGTCTAGCACCTTATCCACCAAAACTCACACACACAGTTAACCTCAGACACAGTCTCTGAATTCAAGAATCTAACAATGCAGAAAGGATCACATTTATTCGGTTTGCCCCTAGAACACAAACCTAGGAACAATGTTAAGAGTTGGAAAGGGGTAAACTTGAGATTGATTTTAGGGGAAATTCTCTGACAATTAGCTATCCAAAACCAAAATGGGTTGCTGGAGGAGGTAACAGGCTCCCCACCTCAATGTATGTCAATCAATCAGGCACTACATAACCACTTAACTTGAAGTGAGTATACATTTTTGATATAATTTAGACTAGCTAGCCACTCAGGTCCTTTCCCACTCTGAAATTTTGTTATGTGAAACATATATGCAAAATAACTACAACAAAAATTAGGGAAGTGTACAAAACAGAGATTCATACAAAGTGCTAAAAGAAATTTGAGGAGAAACAACTCACATTTCAAGATAGAAAACTTCAGCACAGCTTCACAGAGAAAAATGAGACCTAGGTTGTGCCTTAAAGGAAAGTGAAAATTTCAAAAAGCAGGAATGAGGAGGTGTCCTTTCCAAGTAAGGGGAGAATATGAGCAAAAGCACCAAGATATCATATGGCAAGAGAACAGAGGAAAATTAAGTTTGGCTAGAACATAGAGGCACAAATGGCAAGAGTATGAAAACATGCTTGATAGGGATGCTACAGACAAATCATTGAGGGTTCTGAATGTAAGACAATGGAATTTGGAATCTTCTCAGTAGGCAAAAGGGAGGCATGAAAGGTATAGCAGGGAGTGATGTGATTAATCACAACATTAGCACGTTTATGAAGAGTGAGTGACACAGATAGACAGAGGACCCACCAATGGAAACTGTGAAGTTCGGAGGATGGGGAAGCTTTGAGGGGTAATAAGATGAATTTAATTTACTTTTGGACATAGTGAAACTCGTGTATCAAAGGGATGTATAGGCTGACTGTAGTGTGTGCGCTATGTGTGTGTGTGTGTGTATCTCCCAGGAGAATGGAAGATTGGGGGGTGGGGGGAAGGACAAGACTTAGAACTTGAGAGCTAACTTTTAGTACGTGAAAAGTTGTCATGTAGAAGAGGGATCAATCAGCCATCTGCTTAGCTTTAGAAGGCAGAACTAGGAGCAATAGGTAAAAGTTGCAGAGGAGTCAATTTAACCAATTTAGTTAGCAAAAACTTCCTAACACTTGGCACTATCCAAAAGTGGAATGTAAACCTCAGGACATCTTCAACCTAGGGCTGAATGACTACATCTGAGCCATATTGTAAAAGTATACTTTAGAGGAGATATATTTGATAATACAAATTCAACTGATTGTCCCTATTATTTTGGTGCTACACAAAATCAGTCAAATGTTACAGTGGCTGACCTCTGGAGTCCTTGCAGTACTATGACTGCTTTGTGATCCCACGGAAATGGGTAACTCGATGTTGATGGAGGTTACAATTCATAAACTTTCTATTACTGTGTGATTTTTGTCCATAGAGCCTTTCTTGAGGGGGATCTACCAACGAGCTCAAAATCTTCTTTAATGATTTTGGGGATAGCAATATAAGATGCAAAGTATCTATTGTCCTTTGTTCTTGCAACTTGACTAGCCTATGTCCTTTTCTGGTTACATATTTTTTATGCCATCTCCTGTGCATTAGTCATAACTGGTAATAGGCTACCAGCTATTTATACCCACTACAGATTTCTATTTACTGCCCTTTGGGTCATCTGCAATTATCAAAATGTTCAGAGATACTGAAATTTCATTACTTGTGGCTATATAACAACAGCAGGAAGAATACAAGGGTCCAAAAGATGCCCAGGTGCCAGAGTGGCTTAGGGTCACTAAAAAGCCTTGTGTTTTTAGACCCTGAACACTTCAAATGCAAATCAGTCCTGCCTCCTCTTCCTACCAACAAATTGAATCAAATGGCTAACTGTAAATCACTATAAAAATGTTAAGTATGGCTATAGCGATTTTTTTTATTCTTACAATTTTGTCTGATTCTTATAGACTGGCAAAAACTAAGAGATGCTATATGTCTCAAAGTCCAGCAGCTTAGAGGTCAATTTGTAACAAAAATGGGGAAAAAAGCATTTAAAGGAAAAATAATGAATTGGTAACATTTCAAAATAAAGATAATTTCATCAGCAAATCAAGTTATAACACACTTGCATTTTAAAATTTATTTTCAATTAAATTTAATTTTTTATACTATAAAGAAAAATAAATACACTTAAAAAAAGAAAACTTACTTTGAAATGGGATTTACGCTGGCCTCAACAATCGTCAGAACCTTACAGTTCTTTATATTTTCTGGAAACTCCTGAATTCCTAGAAAATGAACAAAAACAACAAAAAAAACAACAACAACAACAAAACAAAACCAAAAACTAAATTTACATGGAAAATCATACCCCTCACCCCAATTATTCCATTGCTAGGAATATACTCTGAAAGTGTTATTAAGAACAAAACATTATCTGTACAAATATTTTCATTAATATTTTCAACATTATATATATATTCTTCAAGTAAGCAACCTAATGCCCAATAAAGAAGGATGAGTTAAATAAATTTTGGTAATGTAATGAAACCAAGAGGCATAGAAAATACAAGGAAATCAGGGGAAATTAAATATTAAATAATGCAAAAGGAAAAAAGAAGATAAAAAGCAAGGAATAATGGATAGAAAACTAGCTTTAGAACCAGGAATAACTAGAGTCAAGCCTCATTGTTGACACATACTTATTGTGTGATCCTGGGCAAGTCACCTAACTCCTCTAGGTCAGGAGTACCTAACTCACAGGCCCATCGAAACTCTTGGGTAGGGCCAGCTACGTGGCGCAGCAGATAGAGCACCAGCCCTGGATTCAAGAGGACCTGAGTTCAAATCCGGCCTCAGACCAAACACTTGATACTTAATAGCTGTGTGACCCTGGACAAGTCACTTAACCCCATTGCCTAGCCAAAAAGAAAGAAAAAAAAAGAAAACTCTTGGGTACAGTGGAACTAGATTAAAATGTAATTGAGAAATGTTTAACAAACTAAATAAAAACATAACATGACACAGATAATATTAATTTGGGTTTTTTTTTAAAAGTCAATACGCAGCCCACAGGGATCCATTTCTATTCAACACCATTGGTTTAGGGGACTTTCTAAGACTCTAAGGTGCAGAAGAGCTATAGACCTGCTTTGGTAGAAAAAATTATTTTAGAAGGAGTTCACTATACCAACAAAATCACAGGCCCAGTACTTAGGAACAGTATTAGGGACACTTAAAAGTAAACATCACAGCTAATACGTATATGGCATTTGAAGGTTTACACTGTACTTTATTTACATGTATTATCTGATTTAATCCTCGAAGTAACTTTGTAAGGTAGTAGTTTCTAGCATTTTGGGCATGGAGAAAAGCCATTGAGTAAAGACACAATGATGGGAGATAGGGTAGAACATGTGAGGAATAATAGTAAAAAAAAAAAAAAAAAAAAAAAAAAAAAAAAGGCCAGTCTGACTTGACCAATGAGTGTAGGAAAGCTGGAAAGGCAGATTAGGACCAGGTTGTGAAGGTCTTTAAAAGCCAAACCATAATTCAGATTTGATCTTAAAGGTAACAGGGAACCCTTGGAATCTGAGAAGGAGAGTGGCCAGGGCAGTCCAACATTTGAAAATCACTTTAGCAGCTGTGTGGAGGATCATTTGAGTGGATATAGATTTGAGGCATAGAGGTAAATTAAGACGCCAATGAAAATGTCCCCAGAGAAGCCACCTTCTGACAGAAATGTGACAGACTTCAACTACAGAAAAAATATATATTTTGTAGGTATGATAAAAATATATTTATAAATTATTTATATGATAAACCTATTTCTAGATACCACCACTACGTGGATTGACTTTGTTTCACTATGCTCACTTGTAAGCATTTACTTTTCCTTATCTGTACTTTTAATTGGGGGTGAAGACTGAAGAAGAAAAGTGAAACAGCAAAAGTGATTAAAAACAGAAAGCCTTTAAAATATTTTTTAAAATATAGGAAGACAATAGAAGGAAGTTGAGAAGGAGGCACAAACACAAGCCAAATTTAAAAGTAATGTGTGGAATTATTATATACTTCTCTAAAAAATGCAAGAAGTATGAAATACTGAGATATAGAGTTACATGTAGAATCCTATTTTTGCATCCTGCAGTGAATGTGGAATTTTTTTTTAATTTAAGCTTAGAATTTAAAATATATATTCATATAAATTTTATATATTATATACTTATATTATATACATACATACACACACACACACATAAAAATAAAAGGAGGGCCAAAGATGTGTATCTATGTGGAAGGTATCTATTCTACAGTAGTAAGACTTTCCCTATGTGAACTCGAAGGAAACAAAACTACAACGGTAAGGATGGTTTACTGGGGAAGAAGTGTTTGGGTAATATGTTCTTACTCTATGATCACTCTTATTCTTAGAAGCTTACATTTATATAACATTTTGCAGTTTAAGATACTATCTCAGGTTGAGGCAGGCTGCACAAGTATTGTCATTCAAAATTTAAAGATAAGGGTAAAGAAGTGAGACTATTGCTTGCATTAAGCTAAACAGTTAGTCAAATGAAAGAGCAAAGACCCAAAATTAGGTCTCCTGATACAAAGTCCAGTTATCTTAAAGGATAGTCCTAACATTCTACTCTAAACACATGTGTGTGTGTGTACACACAAAAAGGTCTGTCAGTCTAAAAATGGAATATAAGAATTTATCGCTAAAATGGGAGGTTGACTGTATTTCTAAGGCCCATTTCAAGCTGAAGAACTCACAATCTTAAATGGGATGGCTGATATACTTCTTACCGACTTAAAAGATAATGGCTCTTATATGCATAATGAAGAACTATTTAAAAAGTTTAAAAGAAAATTCGTAAGAAAAGTTGTCATTCTCCAACAGACAAATGAGCATAGAATATGAACAGGTAGTTCTCAAAGGAAGAAATTCAAATAATCAATAACCATAGAAATGATCTAAACAATTAATAATTAGAGAAATACAAATTAAAACAACTCTGAGGTTCCTCCTCACTCACCAGATTGACAAAGATGACAAGAAAGGAAAAACACCAATTTCTGGAGGGGGCCTTGGAAAGACAGGAACACAACTGCATTACAAGAGGACCATGAACTAGTCTAGCTTGTTAGAAAGTAATTTGGAACTATGGCACACAAGTCACTAAAGCGTGCAGACAAAACAGCATATTATACCTATCCCCTCAAAGAGATCGAAGAAAGACTAAAAGGACACATAGATATAAAAACATTTGTAACCACTCTTTTTGTAGTTGCAGAGAAAATGGAAATTAAAGTGTGATGGTCAACTTGGAAACAAACAAATTATGGTCTCTGAATGTAATAGAATATTATGTGATTATAAGAAATGATGAAAGGAAAGTTTCAAAGAAAGCTAGGAAGACTTATATGAACTGATGAAAAGTAAAATGAGCGGAACCAAAAGAATACTTTCTGCAGTATCGACGAGTCTGTTGAGAAAAAAAAACTAAGAAGAATTTAAGAACTCTATAATCAATGCAAAGACTGACTATTATTCCAGAGGAATGATGAAGAAACATAATGATAAAATGCTTCACCATTATCCCCCTGCCCAACCCTCTGACTGAGGGTGATGTACTTATAGGACAAAATAAGACATACATTTTCAGAATGGCCAAAACATGGATTATTATTATTTAGTACAATGTTATTGGGTTTTTTTAAGCCTATAGGTGTCATTCTTTTTCTAGTATATTTTTCCCTTTTTTTAAAGGGTAACTTATTAGGTTTCTTATGTATCCTTGGCTGCTCTGTTTTCTAGGGTATTTGCAAAGCAATGAATCTGCTCAAATACGATGTTTGAGGGATAGGAATGCTACAAATATCTCTCTTTAGATGAATTGTTCATTGACAATTAGGCTCAGGATTGCAGGGAATATATCTCAGCTCCTTTGTTATTATTATATTAACATTATTCTATTCCCTTCTATGATTTCTGGTGGTGCAAAGTACCACCAGATGTTTGAAATTCCTTTAATTTATATTTTAAGTCCTTTCTCCTGATCACTTAGGGATTTGTTGTTTGTCAATAGAATTGTTAAATTTAACTATTACGGAAGGAGGAGCCAAGATGGTGAAGAAAAGGCAGTGACTTGCCTGAGCTCTCCCCAAACCCCCTTCGAACACCTTTAAATACTGCCTAAAACAATTCCTAAAGGGGCAGAACCCAAAAAAAGACAGGGTGAAATAATTTTCTAGCCAAAAACAATGTGGAAGATTGGCAGGATAAGTCTGTTGCACCTGGCTGACAGTGGAGCACAATCCAGCTCAGGCCACACCAGCATAGCACAGACTGGGTCTCAGCAAACCAGGAACAAGACATGGGAGTGACTGAATCTGCAACAGCTGCTTCTGGAGCTCTCAACCCACAGATGGTAAGAGGACAAGATTACAGGGTCCTCTTTGCTGGCTCTGGGAGCAAGATTCTGTTGCTTTGGAGGCAATCAGTAGATTCTTTCTATTTCACCTGAGTTTTTTATAATACACCACACTATGGTTTTGCACATTCTGACACCTTTTCTTTCTTAGAGTTACTATGAGTACAATTATCCCATTCAATTACAAAATATTCTTGTTCAGTATAACAAGCATTTTCTTTTAAGTATTCTTTCTCTTTGTCTATTTTGTTAAAGAATCTTTAAAAAGAAATTAATACAATTGTTGGTAATATGGTACCCTGCAGCACATCACATCCACATGTGATGACAGACAAGGGCATAATAATGTGTTAAAACCTTTGACTAGCTTGCAATTGAATTTTGACTCACATTAAATGTGACCTGGTATCATTTTATAATTTGCACTAGCTGAAATTTTACATTATTTGATTTCACATTAACTATGACGTAACTGGAGTTCTAGAAATCCCAGCAATAATAAGATAAGAGAAAGAAATTAAAGGTGAAAAGAAAGGCAAAGGAATAAACTATCTCTATTTACTGTTAGAATGATGGTTTACTTAGAAAATCCTAGAGAATCAGCAAAGATATCAGTTGAAACAAGTAAAAGATTCAGCAAAGTTAGAGGCTACAAAAGAAAGCCTCAAATATCAACAGCATTTCTACATAATAATAACAAAATTCAAGAGGCAATAAGATATAGGGAAACATCATTAAAATAATAACTATAAAATGCATAAAACTAGGGATTGGGTTTTTTTTATTTTAAATTTTACTTTCAGTTCTGAATTCTCTCCTTATACTCCACCCCCACCTTGAGAAAGCAA